CTATATGACTTTTAAAAATACTGATTTTTGACACAAGATGTTCCAGTGTTATGTTACTGTCGTGTTTATGTGCAGCAAGGCCATTTTGAGTTTTATCTCTTCTTGCTCAGTCTCTGTGAGAAAGCAATTTAAATTTTTTTGTTGTCTGAAGCTAGGGAAGAAAATCTGTCAAATGGCAAAATCCGTGTGTGTGCCAACAATCTAATTAGCAGAACCATTCTTTTAGTAGGATTTCTCTTGAATGGATGACATTGTGTCAGATATCTGTGGTGTGCCTGGCTCGAAAGTCATGTATCTAGCATTTAATATGGAAGAAATTCTAATTGGTGTGGTGTTACACAACAGTTTGAAAATTCTTTTTGGGGAAATTAAGCCTGTTTCAGATTCCTGACTTAGCATGTCAGTAGTGGTCAACTTGCCCTGCTGAATACAGTGGCAGGTATCTCCACTGGTTGTCAGGACCTGGTATTGGGAACAGATAATTTAAGTAGAACCTCTCTGTGTTTGTAGGACTTAACCCAAATCCAGAGAGGATTATCAGTTTTAAGCTGTTTCTGCTAAGATTTGAGTGGAATTGTAACATATTATTTCTCCCATAATGTAGCAATATTGCAGCACATATACTACTAATCAACTACTATTAATCATAATATATGAATGCAGATGCATAATAATGTACTGTTATTAATATACTGATGTACATGTATAATATATCTGTGAGATACATATAGGGGGATATTTTGTTAGAAGAAGATACCTTGAGATACCTGAACTGTTGAGAGATGTATGTCTCTAAAATTTCTTTCCATCCACTGTCTTGAAGCACAAATTGTCATAAATGAGGGAGAAAGTTAATTTTATCTACCTTACTAAAAATGAGTTAAGTCTGGTTTAAGGTCCATTCTGTAGGCAAGCAGCTGTGCCAGTTACAAAACACAGGGGACTGCATTTTGTAACGTGTGTGTCGTGGTAATTGCAAAAAAAGGAAAAACTTAAGAGATATTTGCTGCCCTCATTAGGATGTGGAGTTATGCTTAAAAAAAATCATGTTCACGGACGTGTATTTTGAAATCCTTAATGCATTGTCCTGCTAGACATCCACATATTACACATTATTGTCGCTGTCAGTCTCTTCAGCACATTCGTTGTCCTCTGGCAAGTCCTTGTCCAATCATGCTTCGTTGGACACCCTGATGCTGTTTCTACAAGTTGTCAGGTCGCATTTGTGGAGAAGTACAGCCCTGTCCGGTGTTCCTGCTGTAGCTTTTGCTTTGATGTATGGTATGCAGTCAAGGGAAAACTTACTTACAGTCATTTTCCTCCAGACTGCCTTTATCTGAAAACGAAATAGTGATTTATTTACTGTTTCTTTGTTATGAATCAGATTGTCTGGGGTGGATGGAAGAAGATAATATATCCATAAGATCTGTAAGGTGATATGCAGTGGGAATGTTTGCTGGTCAAGAGAGGCACCCAGACCTGTCTCTTCCATTACCTGCAATGCAGTTCCTGCTGCATATCCTAACAAAATTCTCAAGATTATTCACATGTTTCAGAGGTAACCAACATACTGCTGAAAGCTTTGGTCTTGCCAAGATACCAAAATGACATTAAGGTCTCTTAACTATTAAAACAGAAGTAGCTGGAGGAATGTGCCTGAGTCCTTTTAGTTTCCGATCAATAAAGTTTGCTAGAGCATGTGAGGACTAATCTCAGTCCTGATGTACTTTTGCACGGTTTCCTTACAAGTAGTCTTCCTCAGTTACAAATATATTGTGAGTACCAGCATATTAATTTTCAGTGAACTGGTTATACATTAGGTGAAAAGAGTGGAATTAGTATCCAGGATTATTACTATTTCTGCAATAAAAATCAGTAATTCTTCGACTGGGACTTGTTTTTCGATAGAGGAATACATACATGTCAAAAACTTTAGCAGAACTTGTAACAGAGTGAGCTCATGGGTTGATTAGGGTAGTGATTTCCAGACTTGAGAGAGACAAACCATCAGTAACCTCTCTAGGTGGCATTCACATCCTTGATAGGTCTTGCTATTATAGGGGCAGATTTTCAAAGGTTCTTAACTCAGCTTCTAATTTAGTGCTCACTATTCTAAGCCTGCAGTATGCCCAGGCAAACTAGGCTAAGACTGGGTATTTACAAACTTGTGGCAGCTTCCACCAGACCTGTTCTTTTCAGAGGAGACAGGCAATTTTGACATTAACTTCTCCCTTTTGTACTTATTCTTTTTGGACACCTTTTAATTAAGATTTTTGGAGTGGTCAAGCAATCAGTGATCTCGTTTGGCACTTCTCATTCAAGAACTTACCCTGGTGTGGGTTGCTGTGGTGGATGTCCAACATGTTCCCTCCTCTGCAGTCTCTTCAGGTGTCTTGGACTGACTGTCCTGGGACTTTGGGAACACATATTCTGACTTAAGACGTGTCTTTGAAACATATCTGGTTCTATTTAGTGTAGTAGTGGGAAATAAGGTTTTTTTCAGCTCTTTTTGGCTGCTTCTTTGTGCTGTGGAGGAGAAAGCAAAGCAGCTGTGTTCGCAGAGCCTGTCTGAATGCTGGAGGGAATTACACCTGGGTGACTACAAGGAAAGTGCAACAGCAGTGTGGGCTGCTGTGCTCTCACCTCAGTGTCAGTGGTGTTTTGTAGCAAGGCAGTAGGAGTTCATCTTTGGAAACTTTGGCTCCACATGCGCTGTTTCAAAGAACGTTTGGCTACAGAAGCTGAATTGAGCGTCCTCACACTGGGCCTCCCAACCCTTCTGTCTGCAGAAGTGCAATAATACATCACACACACGCACAGGTGGTCTCACTTGGAGTCGGGAAGACTTTGTAGGACTTGGATGTGCATGGCAACTGAGAATTTTCCCATGAAAAAGTCATTTTGCATGTATCCAAGTTCTACAGTGGTGCAAGGCATTTTTAAGGTTCATTTTTTAGGAAACTGCTCACTTCTGTAATTTACCATTTGATAAATCAGAGGTCTGGTTTTGCTGCAGACACTGTTTTTTCATATGTGTTACCTTAAACTGATACTGCATTCCCTGGAACTTAGGTTCTGGGTACAGGGTATAATTACAAAGAATTTAATGTGGATTTAATAAGTTACTGTCACTACACTTTTTCTTGCTATTTAGAGAAAGAAAAAAAGGACATGTACTCACAGTTCTAAAAGTCAGATGAATTAATACAGTTTTATGAGTTGAACTAAGAACTTCTGTGATTATCTTGGGTGAATGCTGATTTTTCTATTAAGGAATTTTCTGGGTAAAAATAGAACATACTCAAAGGTCATGATGGATTAAGTCTCGGGAATCTAAACTAGGAAACTTGCATTTGACTTTTTCTGTCACAACACCGAGGAGTTTTGTTTACAACAATCCCCTTGTGGTTGTTTATAGATGGCAGATTCTGATATGCTGTGCTAAATATGCCACTTGCCAGTGGACAGGAGATTCTAAGTATGGAAAGCTGAAGCTTGCAAGAGGCTAATGTGAAAGATGAGGTGGTGCTTCTGTGGGAGCGAAGGGACAACATCAATAAATGCACATGTCACACAAAGGAACGGATTTTAGTTGGAACATGGAGGTTTTTTGGAGAGGGATGTAATGCTGCAATTAAGGAAGTAGAGAGGGAGAACAAGTACAGCAGTTCAGCCGAAGTGGCACAGCTTCCTGGGAGAATAGGCCTCCTTAGCGAGGTAACACTGTTTACAAGATTAGATATTTTGGCAGCACTTTATATTTGGAGTCTTAAATACTAAGTTCTTTGTATTATTAATTAGATTTAAATTAAAACTGATAACTTCAGATGTTCCTTTTTGTATGTTGTTTCAGTTCCTCTAAAGCTGTTTTGAAAATAAGTGCATGTGTGTATATGTTTTCATGTATGTATAAATAATAAATCAACACTGAAATTAAGTATTAACACCATCAGCTCTGACTTTACATCCATTATTAAACTTGTGGATAAGTCATCCTCTAAATGTAGGTGTCTGTTGTTACCTTGGCCACATTCCAGGCTGTGTCAGTGCAGTTGTGCTGCCTTTGGAGTCACTCAGGGTGTGAATGCATCACTTTTCTGAGACCAGAGGCATTAAATATGCATTGCAGGAACACTCACCTTGGCTTCTCTAGCAAAACTATTACAAGTGCAGTGTCAGTCTGCTGGGAGCCAAATTGGTCAAAAGGCTTGAGTTATATTTATACTGAACTCCCTGATGTTACTGATAATATTTGTCAGTTAAAAAAAAATACTCTGTTCGCTGTCTTGTGTTTCCTTTCTGCCTCCTTTTCAGCAATATCTGCCTAATATTTATTACTTGCTTAGGAGCTTCACTGTCTTCATGGGTTGATTTAATCATGGCAAAAGTATAGTAAATAATTTTTTATCAGTTTTTAAGGGTGTTATCTTATTGATTTTTGGAAAATTGAAAAGTTCCATTCTAGTTTTGGGGTTTCTTTTGTTTTTGACTGTTTGGATTTAATAGCATTTAAACTTCAGTAGAAGTGAAAACCATACTAGGATTTCAGTGAAGTTTCTAAAATGGCAAATCACTACTTAGGGTGGATTGGTTAGAATTTTTTTGGCAACAAATATTTAGATTCAAAATTCAGAGTTGCTCTAATCTTTGCATAAAAAAATATTTGATGCTTTTTAAAAAAAAAACAACCAAAACTTTTAGAAAATATTTGTATTTAAATATGTATTTAAATTTTGAAAATAAAAGAATATATGATCTTTCCTAAGGAGAAATCTTAGCAGAATGTCATAGGGATGGCCCCAGTCTTGCAGTTCAGCAGTACGTGTGCTGGTTATTCCTTCCCCACAGTCTGGATGCTGTTGATTGCAGAAGAACCTTAAACCCCGACTTTTTCTCCCAACAATATTGCAGGATATTACTCAGATATTGTTAAGTTTCTGTTACTCTGAGTGCCATTAAGTGGCTGTCTAATCATTTCCTCACGTTTCTGTGGCCCCTAGGGAAGGATTGGTACTTGGTGCACGTGTCCCTCACTGTGACAGACGTGAACGACAACGTCCCCGCCTGGGCCATGGAGCCCTTCCCGTTCCTGGCTGTGGTTTCCCCTGAAGCTCCAGGAGGTACTGAAGTGTACAAGCTGCTTGCTGTGGATGCAGATGAAGGGATCCATGGAATTGTGGAATATTTTCTCTTGGAAGGTAAATTTTAACCCTCCCATTCCCCACGTATTAAGCTTTGCTATTGTGACTTTTTTTGTCTTTTATCCTCAGTTTTGTTAGTGAAAGACCTTCCCTTCCTCCTGCAAAAGGTTCATAAGCCTTCAGCTCTGGGTGTGAGAAAAATCAACTTTTATTGAGGGTATGGAGAGATTTCTTTGCAAAGTTGAGTTCCTGCCCATGTTTTTCCCTGGGGGATGATGATGATGGAGCAGTCAGTACTCCCCAGGGCTTCGGCAGGGGGGTGGCAGTGGGGACTGCCTGTTCATGAGATAAGACAGGATGTGGAAGAAGCACAGTTTGTTGGGTGGAGAGGAGGGTTAATGTTACTATCCCTTGCAGCAGTCATGCTTCTGGTTCATCTCTAACAAAGTTTTGAAGGTCTGGGTTGTGTAAAGCTGTTACAGACTCATTGATAATTTTTTTGCATATCTCTTAAAAAAACCTTCAGTAATAGTTCTATCTGAGCAGAAGGAGAGCAACCATACCCCTCCAAAGATGAATTTGTTTCTCTTGGCCAGGACCTCAGTAGGGTATGGGATATTTAGGGTGAAACAACAGCAAAGTATTAGAGGCTAAAAGAAGGATGGAGAGAGGCTATTTACAAGGGTATGTAGTGACAGGACAAGGGGAAATGGCTTCACACTGACAGAGCGCAGGTTTAGATTGGGTATTAGGAAGAAATTCTTCCTGTGAGGGTGGTGAGGCCCTGGCACAGGTTGCCCAGAGAAGCTGTGGCTGCCCCATCCCTGGAAGTGTCCAAGGCCAGGTTGGACGGGGCTTAGAGCAACCTGGGCTAGTGGAAGGTGTCCCTGCCCATGGCAGGGGGGTGGAATGAGATGAGCTTTAAGGTCCCTTCAAACCCAAACCATTCTATGATTCTGTGATACAGAAGAGTGGCAATTGCCCAGAGAAGTAAAATACAATTTAGAAATGTAACCATGAATATCATGAATATAGTGATTTCTAAGTTCTAAACAAACTTTTGAACTTTAGTGTGCATGCTTGTCCTAAGCCAAAGCCAACTGGGGATATGATACCATATTCTCCTCCTTTTTAATCAAGTAAAAGTGTTCTTGCTAACAGCAGCTCGTGGACCTGTTCTTTTTAGGTGGCGAAGACAGATTTGAAGTTGAGAAGGACTCTGGCTGGATTAAAACAACAGGTTTGCCATTGGTGAGGGACAAGGAGTATTTGCTGACTGTGCTGGCAGCAGATAAACTTGGAAGCAGAGGGTCTCCAGCCTCTGTTTCTGTTCTTGCTGGATTTCGACCACCACAGTTCACCAACATGTCATACTTTGTGTATGTCCCTGAGAGTACACCACAAGGAGAACCGTAAGTAACAGCTCAAACACTGCAGTGGGGTTGTGTTCCAAGTTGTAACTTCTGCTTGATCTCCGCAAAGCCTCATATTGTTTGTGAATTGTAATACATACTGTGAGCAGCAGTTCAGCTCTCTTATTAGAGGTGATCAAGATACAGTTTGACGTATTTTTTAGTTATCCTTTTATAGAGAAAAGTGGTATTGCATAATTGTGGTTTCTTGCTTTTTGAAATGATATGGAAAGAATTAGAAGATGTTGGTTGTGTCTTAATTTTCAAACAAAATGCAGAGTGCAAATTAGCGCTGTTACATCATGAAGGAAGATATCCTGTGTGAAAGAACACAGTAATTTTATGTGTCAAATTCAGCGAATTGACTTCTTCAAAGTGAAAATTGGAAAAAAACCAAAAGACTGGCTTTCCTGTGTTCATCACAGTGACAAACTGAGCAAAAATGAAGATGCCATAGAACTTGTCATCTTATTTTTCCATCCTTTGTCCAACCATGCTGATTGAAATATCATGGAAAATGCTAGTCCTACAGATCCACCTGAATACTCAGTCCCTTCTTTTACAAACTGTTTTTTTGTTACAGCAGATATTTGTTCTTCTGCATGAATTGAAAATACTTTTGTCCAGTAAATATCTTCCTTCTGTAGCAATTGAACTGTTTTTTTATATTACATTATCTATGGTGTTGTATTTTAACTGTTCAATCTACAACATTTAGTTTTACAGTGACTGAATAACCAAGGATTGTTAAGATAAAATATTAATAGTAGATAACAAGTTTTTTCTTTAAAACTACAATAAAATTAAATTACACAGGCATAAAAGGAATTCAAGAACTGCAAAATACTATAATATCTAACAGGTAGCTGCAGTCTTGGGAATTAAAAATAACTAAATTCTTTATAACTATTTTTTATTGCTATTTAGAAATAGGTTTGCATGCCTAAGATAGTAGATTAGTCAGTTGGTCAAATTGCTTGGTAATATCCGAAAGGAATTAAGTATTTAGTGTGGTTCTTACATCAGAAAAGGTTTGAATATACACAGTGCCCCCTGTGAAAGTGGTTTCTGTGATGTGTTGACCAGAAATAGCCATGAAAATGCATTTAGAATCCTAAAGTTCTCATATTTAAATTGGACCGATTACCCAAATATGCAGGAGAACAGAGTTGTTGTCATGCACTGGATGTCTGGGTTTGGGATTTCCCAATTACAGACTGATTTAAGGCTGGGGCTGAGCAGAGGAGCATTACCAAATCTCCCTCTTCCTTTGGTCTGCCACTGGTGCTAATCAGCTCCAGCTGCATGGGCAGGCTGAGCCCAGAGAATACAAAGCCAAAAACAGACAAAGCTTTTCAGTTGGGTTGTTAAATGTTCTCCCAGCACGGCCTTGTGGTTTTCAGTGCTGACAGGAGAGGAGAGGTGGCATGAGCATCCAGCCAGGGCAGGGTGCTGGAAGGGGGGCAGAAAAATTCTGGTGGCAGGAATGCAGTCCTGCACTGGCTGGAACTACCTGTGAAACCGCATCACTGGAAAATACAGAACAAAACTCAAGTGAGATAATGACCTACAGGAATGTTTCCCATTGTTTGTAGTGCACCTGAGGGAAGTGAGAAGACAGCAGCATGGAAATACAAGGGGTGAAAAAGGAGTTTGCACAAAATGAGTTCTGTCTTATTGATTGTAATTGTCACAGGATCACACATGGTGGTGGGTTCTCCTGGGAGATGGAGTTCTTTTTCCTAAGGAACCTGCATGATAAGCTGACAGACACTTGAGGAATTAGTATACTGGTTTAAATGTCTTAATATTTAGTTTTTAATTTCTTCTTTTACTTCATACTGTGGGCATCTCCACTTGAAGGCTTTAAACACATTGGACTTCAGTGGGAAAAAGACAGTGCCAGACAAGAGCTAAAACCATATGTCCTGTATAAGCTGTAACACCCACGCTCTTAGGGCCTGGCTCTTATCCTTTTGCAGTTATCTGTTGGAACTTTAGGGTGGTATGACTGCAGCAGCAAACTTACTGTGCTGATATTAAAATGAATCTTTTTCATCTTGCTTTATCTTTTAGCTTCCTGCCTGAAAACCATCTTCTGCCGTAGAAGGAAGTTAGAGTAGGCAAATTCAGCTGCAGCAAAAATTAAATCCTCTATTCCTGTGTTTTTAATCCTTACTGTGTTCTGCTTCCAAGAATCCTGTCTTTATCTGTTTAACCCCAAGGTGATAGAACCACTGTGTAACAAAATGTTTGAATTGGTGTTTAGATACAGCTGTCACTGAGTTCAGTGAGGATAGCTCAGAGCAGACCTACAGGGTTGCACTATCATTTATGATATGCATAGTTTTTGTCATATTTCTCAGAATATTGTATTATATGCTTGAGTTCTCTCTCTTTTTTTTTAATGCAGCTTTCTTACAGTCACTGCTGTGTCATATCAAAAGAAATCCCTGAGCTACAGTTTACTCACTAATCCTGGTGGTCTATTCAGTATTGATCAGGCAACAGGAGAGATCAGTTTAACTCGCAGTGTGGATTATGAGAGTGACCCACACCAGTATCTGCTTTTGGTCAGAGCAGAGGAGGACGAGGAACAGTTCAGCAGTGCTGCTGAGGTAGGTGCTCTCCTCTGGCAGCCTGCATGGAATTCCATTTTCCCTCATCCTTTTGATTTCTGTACAGACTCACCAGGAGCTCCCATTTCTGTGTGTTCTGCTGTCCTTTTTAGAAGTCTTTCTGTCTATGGATAGTAGTTGAAGACTGGTTGAGCTACTCTTAGAGTTCACTCTTGCAGATGCTCTAAAGACTGTTTCTGGGGGAGCAGTATTCCATCCCATCACAGATCCTAGGCCTCATCTGGGAAGACATGGAAATAGGGGCAGCCAAGCCAGACACGAGGTTTTGTCTTGCTCTAAACCTTCATATGATGTGAAGTTTAAGATTTGTTCCAGTTTAAAACAAAGACACAGCAGAAAATTACTTATTTTGTATCAAAACCACAGAGTGAACTTGTAAAAATGAAAAGTACTAAAAACTCATAGATATTAAAAAATTATGGTTTGTGGTATTTTAGAAAGTTCTTCGAGAGCAAAAATATTTCTAAATATAGTTATTACACTTGCTTGAATTCATGGATTTGCTGAGCTGGGAAAAGCATGCAGTATGAGTTTGTTCCTCCTGCAGGAAATGAGGAGGAACTGTAGAGGAAACAGGAGACAGAATTATTAGAGACAAGTGTGAGGACACAGAGAGCCAGGGAAGCAGCATGTCAGTGTAATAAACACTGGCTGTAGCACGCCAGAGATGATAGTTTCTATTGCCCCTTTAATGTACTACAAAATGAAGAGGGGCAGAACATGACTTGAGAGAGGATTATGAGATGATTTTACAAATACAATTAACCTAAATGTAGTTTTAACTGGTACCTGCTTTACACAGATACAACCTCAACAGTTGAGAGAGAGAAACTGTTCACATCTGCTCTGTAAGGCTTGATGGAATACAGCTCTACCTGTTTCTCTGTGATGCAGAATGCCCCAAGCAACTTCAGAGAGCCTGAAGTGCAGCAGGATGAATGGCCAGAAAGGCTAATTTACACTCTCCTTACTGCTAGGAGTGTAAACAATGCAACTGTGGACTCATACCTGACACAGGAATAAGAAAGCATTTTTAAAGATGTTAGAAGCAAAATTGTATTTCTTTCTTAGTTTGCCACAACCACAGAATATTTTGAGTTGGAAGGGACCTGCAAGGATCATCGAGTCCAACTCTTAGGCCTGCACAGGACACCCCAGGAGTCACCTGAGAGTGTTGCCCAAATGCTTCGCGAACTCTGTCAGGCTTGGGGCTGTGACCACTGCCCTGGAGATCAGTTTACATCTGATTTGTGCTGCTGTGATTGAATTCAGAACTTGGTCTTGGAGATTTATACTGCTAAAATGTGATATGCTTGGCAGTAGAGTTTTTAGTGTTACGAGTCACCGAAGTGTTGTAAGATAAGATAACAGAAGAAGGGGGCTTGGCAAGAAGATGGTCCATTTTCCTTTAAATTAGTAGTTGGGAATAACCAATGGAGATGAAGGGTTAGTGGAAAACATTGCTGCAGGGTCTGGGACTTGGCAATTCCTGGTATCTTTGAATGTAATATCTCTGCAGGAAAAGAGCAATCTAAGAAAAATGGTTTATCCTATGTGCTATAGCTGCTGAAGACCTCAAGGATGTTTTTGGGAAATTCTTCTACATGATATGTCTAAGAGTACTGAACCTGTTCCCTTGATTCACTTTGCTGTTTAACATTCCCCTCTTCTCCACTAAGGTTTTGGTTGTAATCACAGATGTGAACGATTGTGCCCCCGAATTTCATCAGTCGATTTACAGCAAAGTCGGTGTTCCTGAAACAGTTCCTATGACAACTGCACTTCTGCAAGGTCAGTACTCCTGAAACCATTTGTTACATTGAGTGTGTATTTTTTTTCCTCCCACTAGTCAGAATTCAGTTCAGAGGCCAAAATTTCTTGTCCCAGCATGGGTGGTCGCAGCTCTCTGAAGGCAAGTGGCACCTTGCAGAATTCTGTCAGAGTTATTTACTACTGCCACAGCCCAAATAATTTTGGGGGAGGGGGAGACAAAGGAAAGAGATCTTCTCTGTAGGATTTTGAAGTAACAGAACTTCAGTTGTGGTTGGTATTGTAGCAGCAGGCTCATAGTAGCAATCTTGCTACATTTCTTGAAGGAAGGAAGTGATATTAGATCAGAAATTATGGACACTTCAGCTCACATTCTCTGCCCGTCTCTGAGAGTCCTTTGTGGGCTTGATGTGGGAATTTGCTCTCTTGCATTAAAAGCTTCAAATGCAGTTTAACTGTTCGATATGAGGTTTTGTTTGCATACTTGACAAAAAGACATTGCTTCTTTCCAGTGGAACCAATAACTTAAGCTTTAAGTGATGGTGCTCTGTAAAATGTAGCAATAAAGCAATTTTTTGTCAACTAAGCAGTTGTTCAAGGGTCTTGTATTAATCTTTAACCGTTACATAAACTTTTTCTAAATCTTGAGGGGGAAAAGGAAATTAAATGACAGGAAAATTGCTTTTCCATAGTAAACAGGATTTTATAACCTCCTACTGTTCTGCTTAGTGATTTATCCTGTACTAATGGTAGTTAGTTACTGTTCTGGTAACTGTGCTTCTAGCATGGATTTTTGTAGGTTATGGGTAGGATCTGACAAGCACATAAGGTGCATCAGTTGAATAATGTATGTAAATATTCCATCTTTAGTTACACAGCGTGGGATCTGTTTGAGTGATCTGAAGTCAGCACTGTGGATCAGGTGGACATGAGAATATACATCTCTGTGTGGGAATGTGTTTTTGATAGTACAGGGCTCTTTAAATCCACCAGACAAAGGCAAGATCTAGTGGTTGGATTCAACTGGGGACTTCACTTTTGTTTATTTTTAAATGACTTATTTTCAGGTAAGGGTTAGTTCAGTAAAAAGCACAGGGGAGAGCAAAGTTTTATAAATGATTTCAAGCACCACGTGCCAAGGCAAGGCCTACTACAGCAGTAATTACAGCACTTAGCATTCCAATTCACTAACTTTGATCTACAGAGTGCCTTTCTCTTCTCTTTCCATAGTGACAGCCACTGACTGTGATTCCAAAGAGAATGCCCAATTGCTGTATTACACGCTGAGTCAAGACTTTGGTATCACTTCTCATGGCACCATTTTTCCAGCGACACGGTTGGACTACGAGCGACCCAACCACCTTTATGAGTTCATCGTCATGGCTGTGGATCAAGGGGAGGAGCCAAAGACTGGGACAGCAACTGTCAGGATCCACGTTTCAAATGTGAATGATGAAGCACCTGAGTTTTCCCAGGCAATGTAAATACATATTCTTCAAACTCTGTTATCTTTGTCATTTACTGTTGGCGTTTTGTATTTTGGTTGAAAGGCTGATCACAGGGGGATGACTGGCTTTGGTTCAGTCAAATCTGAGAGCTGGACTGACAAATGTGGAGTGATATTTTCACTCTGAGACTCTGTTACTAGCAGGAAAAATATAAAAAAGGTAGTATATGGACAATCCCTTCTGACAGATCTTGCACTTACATTTCTTCCAATGTGTGCTGAAAGATACGATGCAGTAATTTCAGATTATACAGTTCAAGAGGACCCCTCAACCACCAAAGGAAATCAGGCAGAAAAAACAGGCAACACAGTGTTGCCCTGAGCCCTCATCCAGAAACATGGTGAATTTTGCCTTTTATTTAGGCAATTTAAACTTAGAGTCAGCAATCTGCATCTCTGGTTTATAGTTGTTAAAGAAAAATGCTTAGGTGACAGAATCCTAAATGACCACTGAATTATAAAACACACAAGATAAATGCCAGTAAGTGGAGTTCACTTAATTTCACTTAGTCCTATGCCCTACAAACTGTATATATATGTATTTTTTTCCTTCTAAAGCATCCATAAGCACTTTTCTTCCATGGTTGGGGCTCAGAAACATCTGAAGCAGTGCCAAAAGTACTATAAACTTGCATTTATGTTAAAGACTTAGTAATGGAATTTCCAGTCAGCTTCTGCATCAGTCTTCTACTCTTAGAAGTTGCTCAGAACAAAACCGAGGCAGAGATTTCAGTGATGTTAAGCTCGGGGTTTAGCTGAACAAAACATCAAAGCTTTCTGACAGTGCTTGTTGTATGTAAAGATAACCTCAGTCTTCAAAATCTTGTGCCCTCCTTTCTTTTCTGAGCATTGCTTTGGAGATACAGATTGGAAAATTTGATCTTTTGTAGTTTCTCATTGGATCTCTCTATATTTTCAAACACTAAACCGGGTTAAGTTTCTCACTCTTCAGCTGGTGCCTATTTTTCCTTTATTTATGTGTTTAATATTCAGAGACAATGAATATTTATCTATATCTGTTCCTAATATTTTAATCACAAGTGAGTGATGCTATTAAAGGTGCTGTAAACATCTCTAACAAATTGGGAGCAGAAAATACAGTTTAAAAAACCCCCGAATACTGCCAATTAATATTTAAACTTTACTGAAGAATATGATTAAAATAAACATTATTTTAAATTACCAAACATTTACAAGAAGCTTTTCTGTTCTTTCTGCAATAGCAGGCAAACTGCTGTTGTGTGCATGTCTAGATTGGCATTGGAACTGAATTCAACTCCTGGGATTCAAATTATCTCGAGTTTTTGGTTAACTAGGCTTTGATTTTACTCTGTCTTTCCTGTTATGAAAAAATCTTGAACCCAGAGGTGAATTTCAGGCAGGACTTTGTTGACGTTTTCAATGAAATAGAATCATTGTGAGCACACGTAGATTAGGGCCTGTTGAGAGACTAGTTTGCAGTTAATGTTATGCTCTGTGACAGGCTAATACAAATCTAGATGATGATGTTGTCCTTCTAGCCCTTTGTTTAAATAGATTTACAGTCCAGTATAAACTCATGATTCCTTGCCACGAGCTTTCTTTCGTTGCAGTTATTCTTTATCTCAGTTATGAAATGCTTAAGGCTACCACTCTGTTTCATTTTGTCAGTTTTTACTTTCTCTTTTTTGAGACCTCTTCTGAACTCTTCTGTCCCTGTATTTCACATTAAAAATTATCAGCATTACTGTTCATTTGCTTTCCAGATGCAGAGTTAAGACAGTGTCTTGAGGGTTGTGACTGAGCTAAAGCAGAATAATTTACTTCTCTTACTTGGTTGAATATAAAACGGGGGAAGAAAAGAAACTGTTTCTATGAAGGTTTCGTTGCAAACGCACGTATCTCGACAACGAAAACTAAGGGAGAGGTTTTCTTTGCATCCATTTTCTTTAAATATTTTGCTATTCTCAGCATATGGCCAGCGAGTCTGTAAGCACTCTGAACCCAGTGGTGCACATGTGTTTGGGTGGATACAGGCAGCTGTAGTTCATTCTTACAGCTGAGCTTTGGGATATCTACTGTGGACAGGTCTGTGGTGTGCTTAGTCTGACCTATGCTCAATCCAGTCAGATAAAATAATAAATATTTGGGACTTTGCTAAAGCAGGGAGCTTTTCTACTCCAGAGAGCATTAAGCTTAGGCTGATAATGCCTCTTAAAAGCTTAAAATGTCAGTGATGTGTCTGGACTTGGGAAGAGATTTTTGTAAAAGTGACATTATGCGCATATCCTCCAGATTTGATTCTCATCTTAGTCATGCTGGGGCAAAGACTGCACTGAAAGCATTTTGGGGGCTTGTCTCAAAGTGTGCTGTAACAAGCACTGCTTTAACTTACCAAATGTTTGCTGTGGGTCTGTGAATGAAGCTCATTTTTTTAAATTAAAAAACCCAAGTGACTTCTGCAGTTAGCACAAGTCTTCAACAAGTCTGAGCTTCGAAGCCATGGTACTGCTGGAAATTTGCAGTGGAAATCTCTGGGGGTTAATGTCAGAAAGACATGGATGGTTGGATAGATCATCAATACTACTATTTCACTGCTTAACAAAGAAGCATTGTACCAGTGTAGTTGTATTAGCACATTACACTCTGCAGTGCCCTCTGAACAGGTAATCAGTAGATGCTGTGAAGCTTATTCTCTGTACATTATTTCCTGTCTGAATTCATAAAGTGCTGTCATTTGGTTTTTTGGTGTGTTTTTTTTTTTTAAAACAGCTACAGGAGTTTTGTTTCTGAAGATGCAGGCCCAAACACCCTGATTGCTACAGTTAATGCTGTTGACCCTGATGGAGATGGTGTGACATATGAGATTCTGTCTGGGAATCAGAAGGGAAACTTTGTTATTGACCCTAAGAAAGGTAATGATATATTAGCTCTTTGCTGCTGCAGTAATGTTGATTCTGTTGTGATGCACTTTGAATTTCACAGAATCACAGAACAGAACCACAGAATATTCTTGAGTTGGAAGGGACCCACAAGGATCATCTAGTCCAGCTCCTGGCCCTGCACAGACATCCCAACAACCCCACCCTGTCCCTGAGAGCATTGTGCAAACCCTCCTGGAGCTCTGGCAGCCTTGGGGCTGTGCCCACTGCCCTGGGGAGCCTGGTCAGTGCCCAACCACCCTCTGGGGGAAGAACTTTTCCTGAGATCCAACCAAACCCTGCCCTAATGCAGCTCCAGCCATTCCCTTGGCTAATTTGGTCTCAATTAGGTAGCTATTATAAAATTGAATAACATATGCTGTCTTTGAAGCTTAATTTTAAAAAGTGCAGGGGAAGGATGCACAGACTCTCATTTAATGTTAAAAAAGGTATAATTTCCTGAAAGTTCTGTATAATTGACCCTCTTTACTTGTTCAGTGTTTGCTTTCAATAAATAATGGCCAGTCTTCGTGAACGAAGATTTTGGGAAAGGTCTTTTTACCTTTCAAGCCTGCGCAATGGATTTTTTAGGTGAGACACAGCCTGCGCTGAACTGAGCCCACCCTTTAATCCTAAGGTTCATCTGCCGGGGCCAAGCAAGCTTGGACAATGGCAGTGAAGTCCTCAGGACGTAGGTTTGTTTAGAGTGACCTTCTCATAGATGGATGGCCTCACAGGGCTAACGGGCTCCATCTGCCCGGGGGACTGGCTGGGATTCGAACCTGGGTCGCAGAGGTGAGAGTCCTGCATGCTAACCACTAGGCCACCAGGGGTCCCCGTTTGCTTTCAGTCTGTAACTTAATAGAACATTATTATAGATAACAGGGAGCTTAATAGACAGTAACTTAATAAAGAATGTTATTATTGATAACAGTGTGACATCCCAAAATGTCAGACAAGGATCTGAATAGCATTTGATGTAGGAAACTGGACATTCTGGTTTTTAGATGAGGCTTCCCCCCCACCATGCTTATGTCTGTCCTGGTTACACGTGTGAGCAAACACTTTTTAGCCAAGTTTACTTTTGTTGTACTGACAAAAAGCGATGCATTTGTAGGTAGAATGACACTACCATTGTTTTATTTCAGTGAAGGCAAAAGTATATAAAATCTGAATTAAAAAAATATTTTTAATTTAAGGACAAAATCATTCCTATGACCAATGTTATTTAGCCAAGAACACTGCATGCATGTGAAAAAAAAGTGTGTGGATAATACTTTTCAGTTTAAGGCATTTGCTCTGAAATAGCAATTTTTACATCTTTTTAAGTTCTTTTCAGCAGTCACATATTTTTAAAACATGAACAGGAAAAAAAAAATCCAACCACATTGGTGTCCTCATTAGAAAAAAAAAAATAGCAGAAACACCCAACATACAAGTAGGTTGGCATATCCCTTTAAATTAATAGGATTTATTTGCTATTGATTACTTGAAGAAAACAAAAGAGGATGTTTTGAGATTGAAACAGGCAAACAAACTGAAATCCCATTGAAGGGTTGAATTAACTTAATTAACTTCAGTTAAACCACTTTGTATTTTGAACTGCAATCAAAATTTGAACTTAGAGTTTTCAAAGCCTAAGCATTGAATATATAGGAAGGCATAAGCTGCCCTAAGTTATTCCTTCTCTTTATTTCATGGAGTTCACTTAACATGAAATTTTAATTCCAATGCAATCATGGTTTTGCAATATTAATGTGTAGATTCTGAAATGTTCCCAAAAATATAGTCTGCAGGTAACTTGGAAATGTTGAAGTGTAATCCTGAGTTTATTGTGAGCTCCTTTCTGACTTAAAAAGAGAGTTTCAGGTTCCGAGAGTTAAATTCTTAAGATGCTTTGTCACCTGAAGAGGAACAGTGGTTTTGAAAGTGTCTAATTGCCACAGTATTGAGATATCTGACACTTCTGAAAACTCTTTTTTTAAGTGCTCCAAGCATTTTAACTTTTGACTGATAGCATCTCTTGGGATTAGCTCCACAGTTTTAATATAGATAATCATGTATAGGTATGTATATACTTTTTTGCAAATTAATTTTATAGTCTTTGAAAGTTTGTTTTAGGAACATGAGCATTTTTTCCAAAACACTTTTGGGCTTTACTTGCTGAATAAACCATTAAAGGTTTATACAGTGATTTGCAGCAGTTCCTTTTCAGGGATGATGTCAGGGGAATAGTCTGTACCCCCTTGGCAGAAATGTGGAGGTAAAGTGGAGATGTGTCAAAGATAAGTGCTGCAGCTAAAACGATACATCTGCAAGCAGATCGAGTGACACTGATGCTGTGACAATCCTCTGTTGTAATGACAATTACTGTTATTCCTGATGAATAACAGGAGTGATGGATGGATGATGGAGCAAAAGCATGACAGCTCCTCACTGCATGGTCTCTGTTTTTGTAGCACGTCTTTCCCTGACAGTGCCTTTACATCCCACCTAGCAGGGTGTAGCATTTGGGGGAATTATCAGAGTAGCAAAACAGAGGTTTCTGAGACTGTGCCTCTACAAGCAGATGCTGCTGTGATTGTGCTGCAGGAAGGCAAAGTTGAAGTAGTTTCAGTTGAGCTGTGGGTGGCAGCTGCAGCAGGAGGGATGTGGCACGTGTGTCATTGCAGTAATGATACAGCAGCAGAGCCAGGCTCGCTGGTGGGGCAGGTGCAGGTAAAACACAAGTCTACCACAATGCTTCTCTGTCTTTTTTTTGTTTTATTTTCCTTTTTTTCTGCAGCAGGTAGAAAGCTGTTCTGTGCAGGTCAGCTGAGGTGTAGCTGTTTTCTCATTTAACTCTGTGGCCATACCTGCAGACAAACCTGTTGTGATGTCTTAATTTTGTTTTAATATCAGACTGCAGTAAAAACACCATAGTTAAATTCAACTGCAGCAGCCTTATGGTTTATTGGTGAATAGGCAATTGTTGTCATTCTTACTGGTGAGAATAATAATGGTAATTGATTAATGCAGAAAAAAACCCACAACCTGTTGTTTTTACAGGGCTAGTTAGACTTCGCTCAAGCCCGTTTCCTAAGCTGCAGGGGACAGAATATGTGCTTAATGTCACAGCTACTGATGATAATGCCTCTGGAGGGCCCCATCCCCTTACAAGTACTGCCCAGGTTGTTGTGAAAATTGATGATGTCAACAATAACAAACCTGTCTTTCAAAAGGTAAATATTTGAGCCTCATTCATTTGTGTTGTACTGTGTGTAAATGTTTATTTAACACTGTGTTGTCACTGCAGGTGGGCAGCAGATGAGCTGCTGGGGGAGTGTATGCTCTGCTTCCCTCTCTTTTTGAGTCCTGATGCCTCTGTCTTCTCCATCTTTTCCACCCCTCCCTAAGACCAGCAGGATTTGTCCTGCTCTGTGAGCACTGTGCTCCCTGAACCACACCTCGTCTCTGGCACTGCAGAACATGAGACTGTGATGCACTTTTGGAGTTTCCATGTGACATGTGAGCAGGAATCAATAGGGATGGCTGTCTATGCAGTGGACCTGTTTCAGAATATTCCAGAATACCTCTCCAAATTACATAGGCTTCCTTTCATGGTCTGGAACTGATGAGAGAAGATTGAGTGTTTTAGCTTAAATAGTAAAGTACTGTAAAAAATAAATGCTGTCATTTGTTTTCAGAATGCTAATTCATATTAAAGATCTGTTGTCTAAAAATTTCAGATCTGATGCTGATGGCTCAAATGTTGATGGACAATGTTGCATATTTTGAAAAGTCAGCAACTATTCATGTCAGTCTTGGAAATTCTCAATAACCTCTCCTTGACCAAGTTACTTTGTGTAGAAATCCCTTTTTGACGAAAGCAGTTCTGCAGTTTGGGCAAGTGTATGCCCTCTTTTTTTATTAGACTTTTGCTAATTTAGAAAAATATTTGCATTTGGAAGTAACTGTAGCTTTTTCATTTGTTGGAGATGCTCAGTGGCCTCATGTTGTGTGTGGTTCACATAACCACAAAGTAGCAGGTGAAGTCTGTAAATTAATGATGGTACAGATAAAACATTAACAGCAGTGCATGGGAATGGAAGTGTTGCTGAATTGTTTTTCCTTTTTTTCCTCCCCTGGTATATCTTTTTTATTGCATGGTAAGTCCTTGGTTTTTCTGTTGTTTTTTTATTTTCTCCCCTCTCTTAGTGCCAGTATTATCGGGAACATGCTTCTGTCTTGGAAAACCAGCCTTCAGGGACAGTTGTACTGCAGGTTGAAGCCACTGATGCTGATGAAGGAGCCAATGGTATAGTGAAATATGGCTTGATGCACAGAGATGGTGTCCTACCAGCATTTACTATTCATCCTGACACAGGTAAAAAAAATGTCAGAACATTTAGAAAGCACTTTGTAACACTGGTGGAAAAAAGGCTTAAATAAAATCAGACTTCATGCTTTTTTATTTTTTTTTTTTGACAGCAGACAAAATATAAACTGTATTAACTGCATGAACAAGTATTCCATGAAACTAAGTTTCATACATGTCCACTACTGAACTAAACCTGATGTTTTCCCTGAAATGTGGGAATTCTGCTGTGTGAAGTAACTTGTGTGTTTTTTTAACTGGATTTTAAAAAAGCCAAATGTTATCTTGCAACATTGCTAGTGGCATATAAATGATTTATCCAAGTGACAGTAGTCTTACAAACAGCAAAGGAATTTAGTCTTGGAAGGTTGAAAATAAGTACAGGCTGAACTTTTGGAGGATAGAAGGCATGAAACATTCCTCTACCCTGTACTTACTGCTCTTCAAAAGTAATATTTCTTTAATAAAATAATTCTCTTAAAGTTATTTTGGTACTTATCAGCATTTTCTGAATTTAATTCCAGCTGTGTGTAAATGTAAGTGTAACTGAAGTTTGTATCTGCCTGAGCAGTACAATGTCAGCTGATGAAATTGTGAAATCTTGTCGTTGGATCCTTGAACCCAAAGTTAGAGGCGTATTTAAACTTCTGCTTTGTATCTCAGTGTGTTGACAGACCAGAAAACATCTACATGTAGAATATTGTCAAATGCCCAATATTTTAACTGTCTGGTATTTACTTTGTTTTCAGGAGTTCTGACAACTGTTCAGGTATTTGATCGAGAGAAACAGAGGGAATATCCCATCACTGTGACAGCAACAGATCAGGCAGCGGAACCACTCATTGGAATATGTCAGATAAATGTTGTCATCCTGGACCAAAATGACAATGACCCCAGATTTGAAAACACCCACTATGAATGTAATTGAGAGTCATTGGATAGAGTTTCGGTGCCCTGAGTGTGAGCTTGCCTGATGTCTCAGATTTTGGGGTTTTTGTTTTCTTCCTGGCAGTAGAATATGTGACAAACTAGGTGACTGCAGCCAGAGATGCTCTTACCTTAATTAGTTGCAGAACTGTTACTCCGTGTAATGTGATGTAACAAGTATGGTCTTGGCTCATAGGCCTTCCTTATGGGAAAATTCCTGGAAGCAATAGCCATGTCAGAGTCTTCCCTTACCTGAGGATACCAAGTGTCTGGTACTGCACAGGGATGGGGAATCTGTAATAACCGTGTGGGTGTGCAGTGCTGGGCATTAACTGTATCCTTGGTTTTCAGATCAATAGATTTCTGTCGTAACTTTTGGTTGCATAGTTTTCCTTTTCTCATTTGAATTTCATAATTCTTCATTGTCTGTTGTTTTACCTCTCCTTTTTGGTTCTTCAGAAAAACCCTTCCTGTTTATGGAAGCACCCCCAAGACATGTATAATATTAATAAAAAAATGAAGACTGACAATTCTCAATTAGTTTTACAATGCAAATCCTAGAAAGTAGTTTCTGACAATGTGGTCCTTTACTTCTGGTTTTATGCAATAAATTAAAATTCAATTTAAGTATAATACAGAGCAATTAGTCCTTTATTAAAATACAGTTTTAAAAATTATAAGAAATAAGAATTCTAGGTTATGAATGTGATAATATGAAGTTCAAATGTGATCCACAGCTCTGGAGTGATAGCAGCCCTTTAAAATACTCAGTGTAATGAGTATTTTAAAATACTATGCACTGAGGGCACTCAGCCCTTTAAAATACTGAGTACAATGGCCATTGTTCCAAGGAAGATCAAATTATAGCTTCCAAACATTATTACTTTAGTCTTTCTTCATGGCTAAATGAGATGTCCGTGGTACTTCAGTGAATGAATGATGTGTTTGAAATATCCTTTCCTTACATTAGATTTCTTAAGAGAGGACACAACAGTTGGGACCAGCTTCCTGCGTGTCGCGGCCCGGGACGATGACTACAGCTCAAATGCTGCCATCACATATTCCATGGCAAATGAAGAACCAAATTACTTTCAGATTAATCCTACTACAGGCTGGGTGTTTGTGAACCAACCCATATCTCAGGTATGGTGCTTGCTTTCCTTTCTAAGCTGATTGTCTCAGTGTGTCCCAGGAGGGACTGAGGCCATGAGTTTGTGTTGCCCCATCACATTAAAGGATCAATATGCTGTGTTTAAATTAAACTTGAGTTTAAGGCTTTTAGCTCATGAGTTCATTGACTGTAAATTGCATATAAGCAAACCTTGCTTTCAGCTGGAAAGCAGCACTGCCTCTGAGGATCTGCTATTCCCATTTCCCTAGCTTTGGCATGCTAATTCCAGGGGCTGGAGGGCTGAGATCATAAGCAGGGGAGCAGGAACCCAAGTGTAGAACTTCACAGTGTTAACAGGTAATAAGTTAAGACACAAACGTGAGTGTGAAATTTTGGTCCTGATACAGATTCCCTACTTGATTTATGTTAGTTGTGGTGGACTAAGTGTAGCTTTCCCTCAGGAGGATGAAGGCATAATGAATAAAATTGTCACATGAAAGATTGATCGGTTTGACCATTTCTAAACATCTACACAAACAGTTTGAGGTTTTCAGAGTTCCAGAGTAATTTGTGTTAAAATGAAAATGTTATTGTAGATGCCAGTTTTTAAATACCTAACAGATATTTTTAATACTGAAATTTAACTTCTAAGTTCCTGACACACTGTTTGGTGAATATGTGTCCTTTTAGTATGTTTTCTTTAGTGAATCTAAGAACCCTGTAGACCTAATAAAAACTTTTTATAGGTAAGCTTAAGAACTCAGGGGCTTCACAAAGTGGACTATTTTGGTTCTGTTTAGAGTTTGTGTGAAATATACTAAGGTTTATTGAGACACATATGAAAAATTTCCAACAATCTTCAGTAAAGCAAATAGCAGAATTTTCATCAACTTTGCACCTATTTAATATTTTGAGCTCAATTGCAGGTATTTTTCTTCTGTGAAGGTTTAAGTGTGCCTTTAATTTTATGTATCAATTTATTTTGGAGCCCTGTTCAAAACCTTCTGTAATGAAACCTTTCTTACTGTTCAGAGATCATCTATAATTCGAGAGGTTATTGCTACAGATGGAGGCAATAGGAGCACTAAAGTTGAACTTGCTGTAACTGTTACCAGTGCAAAAAACCAGCCTCCACAGTGGGAAAGAGACAGCTATGAAGTTGTTATTCCAGAGAATATTACACGAGATGCCTCAGTTTTGGTAAGAGTGGACAGAGTTGTTAGTCTGTCTGTAGCTCTAAGGCTTTACAGTAAATTAATGGTTTTTAATTTGCTTAAATGTGAGCTTTTATAACAGTTTTGTGTTTTGTAGCCGAGTATCTGGGAGAGTCAAAACACAAAAGCTTTGGGAAACGTTGCTGTACTTGCAGAAGTGTTGATTGCAAACACTTTTTGAACTGTGCAGACAATCAAAGCCACTTCTCCCCTTGGTGATCCCCGTGTGACTTACAACCTGGAGGAGGGACTTGTTCCAGAGACCAACATGCCAGTTCGCTTCTACCTGACTCCAAACAGACATGATGGTTCTGCCTCAGTCCTGGTAGCTGAGCCCCTGGACTATGAAACAACAAAGAGCTTTCTGCTGAGGGTTCGAGCACAGAACGTTGCTGCAGTTCCTCTGGCAGCGTTTACCACGGTCTATATCAATGTCACAGGTGTGTCGGCTCTTCAGGGATGTTACAGCAGAATCGTGCACAGTTTTTCTTTAATGCTTTATACTTTTCTCTGTCTGTGCTCTTTTGATGTTTCAGATGTCAATGACAATGTCCCATTCTTCACTTCATCCATCTATGAAGCCTCAGTAACAGAGGGAGCTGATGTTGGGACATTTGTCATTCAGGTGTCTGCCACCGACCTCGACCTTGGTCAGAATGGAGAGGTAAGGAAGGGGACCTGCATCTCCCCTGATGAAGGGTGGAGAATAATTTCTGTATGAGCAATGGCTAAATAGTCTGGGAGTCTTCACCTAGAAAAGGGAGGACTAATAGGGAAATGTAGAATGAAATAAAGTAGTTTGTTACAAGCTTCTCTGTGTTGCCATGTGAAAAATGAAACTGAAACTAGTATCTGTGAGACAGAAAACAAATAGGAAATATTTATACAACCTGGAGTTTAGGTGAAGTACTTGCTATAGAATGCTCTGTTTTGGAAGGTCTACATAGGCCTAAAATGAGATTGGATAAATTAATGGAAGAAAAACCATGTTAAAAGCTTCTACGAGTTGTAAATCACTGAGGGTATTGCAAACTGAATCCTTACAAAATATGGCAAGTTAACACCCAAAGTGGAGATATTCCTTGCTGATTTAAAAAATTGAAAGTAAGTATATCCTTAGAACAAGAGTGCAAACTGAGGTCAATCACAGAAACATATATAATAGAGACTGGAACATGATCCACAATACTGAACAAGTTCAAATCCAGCTCACCTGGGCTATTATATTAGTACTTGGTATCTTTGGCTGAGTTTGAGTGCTGTTGCACAAGCACTGTGCAGACATGTACTAGTCAACTTGGGAATTGATTAGACAAGACAGATTTATTTCCTTTAGAGATCACCAGTCAACATGCAAGGAAGTTAATTGACCTCAGATTGCTCAAGATGCAGTTTTACCAGGCTTTCTTGGCCCTGATCGAGTTCTCAGACACAAGACTGTTCTTCCTCTCTCTAAATACTTATTTAGCTGTGAACTTTCTGTAGATTAACAACTTCTGTTTAATCCTTTAGATAACTTACTCCCTGTTACATGACAGTGGCAGAGACTACGCCCATTTTCGCCTGGACTCCCAGACAGGCTCAATATACACGGCCTCAGTGTTTGACAGAGAGAAGAAGGGCTCCTACCTTCTAGAAGTCAAGTCAGTGGATGGCTCTGAATCAGCCAGACCTGGAAAACACGGGAAGCCAAACTCTGGTAAGAGACATGTCTGCAACAAGGGTGATATTACCCGGGTTGGTCTCTGAAATGCAAGATCAAATGTTAGTTTCCTTTTTTTCAAATCTACTTGTGAAAGAGTATCAGTTGGTTTGGTTTCGGGATGGTTTTTTTGCTGTTTGTGCAACAGTTGTGTCACAGCTGGAAGATAAATTTTATATGATCATCAAGCAAATTTTTTGTTCTGAAATTAAAAGAAAACGAGAGCTTCATACTTAGAGTGTAGAGAGAATTTCCTGGCTAGTAAAGATGCTCCTGTTATCTGTACAATGCAGATCTTTGGGCAGTGGAAGTGTTTCTCAAAGCGCTGCATATGGTACTGTATTCAGTCAAAAGTAGTTATGAAGTAGGAATGTTCAAGATAGAAAATCTCTTTCTTGATTGATCTCCCTGCTTAAATAACAACTTAAAATTTTGTGGCTTCGGGACAAAAAGTTATGACTAAAAACTGTACAACGGCCGTATTAGGCATCAATTATTCATGTATTATCTGTTTAAACAGATTGGATGTGACATTCATTTGATACCCAAGTGCTTTTGAGTAATGTTGGTATATATATGGTCCATAACCCTAAGGGTTTGCTTCTGTATTGTCTGCATATTTGTCTTCATTTAACGTGCAGCGAGACAGGTTAAGGAATTGTAGCTGACAGAAGTGGCACAACTGAGGGTTTTAATCTCTCGTTCCTCGTGTCTCTAGACACGGCCTATGTGCGTGTTTCCATCAGTGATGTGAATGACAACGAGCCTGTCTTTGCTCAAAGTGTCTATGAAGTAAATGTGGATGAAGACCAGGATGTGGGCTCCACTATTGTCACAGTCAGTGCTAACGATGAAGATGAAGGTAAAGTATTGGAATTCCCCATGGCTGTGTCTAAAATATTCATGAGTTAATTTCAGGACACTGGGATGTATTTAGTGGTGTTAGGAAGGGAAATTTCTTTTTGTCTCTAGATTTTAAAACTTCTTTTAAGTGTGAACTGATCAGGCATGAACATCAGTTCATAATGGAGCCGTGAGGTGTAATCTCTTATTTCAGGAGACATGCAATAATGTGGGATGATATGGAATAATTTCTGTGCCGGAAAATACAGATTCATTATAGATCATATCATTTTCTTACAAATACGCCAATATACATGTCCTGATTAACTAGAATAAATCAGACTTGATTTCAGTGAGATTCATTTACTTTCTCTGTGGGCAGTGTAGTTGTTCTTTTACTTTTTCTTCTAAACAGTCTCTTATTTGAATCTAGACTTTCTAAATGCATATGATGAGTCTTAGCTATATTGTTTTATCCACAAATCAGTCAGAAATTCAGCTACGGGTCATGTAAAAGTAAGTACACAGCCAGTGCTCATAAATGAGAGAGGGAACAGTACAGACTTGCATCTTTTGGCTGTGGTGCATCACTCATTTGACTTCACTGTATGGTGAAGCCCTACTTTTTTTGTTGCACAAGTCCCAAAGGACTGTTCTGTCAGTGTGTTTGTGAAGTAGAAGTAAATCCTGACTGCACTGGGTTCCTCGCCCACTCTGTAGGAGGCTGAGACAAATGTGGCAAAGATGTACTGAAAAAGGATTTACCTACTCAAGGAACTATTAGTTTGTTACTTAGGCTGTCTGAAAAACTGCTCTGTAGTGTTGGACAGGGGACCTGATACGATGGATATACTGCACTTTATTTCTGTCCTCTTAATACAGTAAAAGCAGAATTTCTGTGTCATGGCAAAGACACATTTTATAATTATAGACATGCCAGGGTTGAAAATGCTGATAAGTAGTCTGACATAGCTGCATGTTTTAAAAGACCAGAAAACCATAATACCACAAATCAGCTGTTGTGTGGTTTGTACTTCATCTCAACATGCCATACTTCAGTCTGCTTCCAGAAATGTGTGTTTTCTGACACTGTTGGTAATTGACAGGAACAAATGCTAAATTACGGTATCAGATCACAGCTGGAAACACGGGAGGAGTCCTTGATGTCGATCCAGAAACAGGAGCCATTTTTATTGCCCAACCACTGGACTATGAAGAAACAAAAATGTATGAGATTCACTTGTTGGCCTCTGATGGGAAATGGGAAGATTACGCAGTTATCATCATCAATGTCATGAATAAAAATGATGAGGCTCCAGTTTTCTCTATCAATGAATACTATGGAAGTATAATTGAGGAACTGGATGCGTTACCAGTCTTTGTACTTCAGGTAGTGTATTCAGTTTCAGAGACTATGATATTTCAAAGTGCACTGTGGGACAATTATGGGACAATAATCTAGCACATATGTATTAATGAAGTTTAGTTTTACTGAGGTTTTTTGTCACTGGAAGAGGAAAAGTGGACTTTTAAGAAAAAAACAATTACAAAGACAGTAGGAGAAAAAAGATGGATCATCTGTGATCCTAAAGAGCAAATAATTAGCATTTTAAAGTAGCTATCAGAATAGCATATTGAAGTTACCTCTATGCATATGAAAAATATTTTAGTACTAGAATATCTGCATTGTTGCTGTAGTGCAAAGCATATTTGTCACTCTGAATTGTCCCTAATTTGCTGTTCCCTGGCATGCACATATTAATACCCTGTCATATGCTTTTTCTTGGACTCCTTTAGACTGTAGCAACATATAGGATGTGATGCAATCATTACATATTTCATGCTTTTTGTGTCTTCTTTTCAAAACTTTTGTAGGTCATGGCAAGTGATCCTGACAGTGATGTGGATGAAGGAGATTTGAGATACTCATTGCACGGGTATGGTGCAGCTGATATTTTCACAATAGATGAGAAAACGGGCAGCATTTACTCACACAAGACGCTGGACAGGGAGGAGAGAGCGCTGTGGAGGTTTATTGTGTTGGCTACTGATGAAGGTGGAGGAGGACTCACAGGGTTTGCTGATGTGATTATTAACGTGTGGGATATAAATGACAATGCACCCGTGTTCATGTGCATGCCCGATGACTGCAATGGGAATGTGTTTGAGAACTCTCCTGTGGACTCTTTAGTCATGGAAATGGGTGCAGTTGATCGCGATGATCCAAACGTAGGTCTTAATGCTGTCCTGACTTACAGGATAACGGAGAATGTGAAAAATGAGTTTGGTACTGACATGTTTAATATCAATCCCAATACCGGTACAATCCACGTTGCAGGGGGAATGCTAGACAGAGAAAGGACTGAAAATTATTTTCTTACTGTGGAAGCAAGAGATGGGGGAGGGTTAACAGGAACTGGCACTGCCACTGTCTGGGTTGCAGACATCAATGATAACGTACCTGCGTTCACAAAAAAGATGTGGCAGGCAACAATTCCTGAAAACAGAGCCATTGACTCTGAGGTTTTGCAGGTCTGTGCTACAGATGCAGACATTGGGGAAAATGCAGACTTAACATTCAGTATCATTGGGGGAGACCCAGATCAGAAGTTTTACATTGAGAATGACAAAGAATGGCAATGTGGCACTATCCGACTGAAAAAAAAATTGGATTTTGAGAATGCACGTGAAAGAAAGTTTAATCTGACGGTTACAGTGGAAGATATGGATTTTTCAAGTATTGCAGTGTGCCTGATTGAGGTTGAAGACTCCAATGACCACAGCCCAGCTTTCCTTTCTCAATTTATTCAGACAAACCCGTTACTTGAAAACATGCCTGTAGGTACTACAGTAACCACAGTGAGAGCTATGGACAAGGATTCTGATTTGAATGGGAAGATTGTATATTCTATAAAGTCAGATTCGGATCCTATGAGACAGTTTGTGGTTGACCAATATGGTCACGTGGTTGTGGCAAATACCCTGGACCGTGAAGTCATTGAGAAATACAGTTTAATTGTACAAGCTGCAGACCAAGGGACACCTGCCCGCACTGGGAGTGTTACAGTTTTGATTAACTTGCTTGATATTAATGACAATGGGCCAAGGTTTGAGGCACCATACATGCCTGTAGTTTGGGAGAATAGACTGAAGCCTGAAATAGTTCATATGAACCACACATCAAAACTGCTTCACGCATTTGATCCGGACAGTGAGGAAAATGGGCCACCCTTCACGTTTTCCCTGCCACCACATTATCAGAACTCTTTGGATTTTTCTCTTACTGACAATGGAAATAGCACAGCAACTGTAACTGCTTTGAGGTCCTTTGACAGAGAAAAGCAGAAGGTGTTTCATCTGCCAGTAGTTATCACAGATAGTGGGATTCCACCTATGAGCTCTACAAACACCCTGACTATAACAGTTGGTGATGAAAACGACAACTGCCATGAGTCTGGCCATAAGGAAGTCTACGTGTACAGTTACAAAGGTAAGTGCTGTCTGGATGTTATATCAGATTCTGGATGTTATATCAGGTTCATGAATGCAGCAGTTTTACACATAATATTTCTCTTGCAGTCTGTTAATCTATCTCTTGAACGGTTTGCGTATTTCAAAACTGCGACTTCAATTCTGTGAGCTACTAAATAAAATGGAATAAATAAACTACATTAAGCTCAGACCCTAGTTTGTAAAATATTATCTACCAAAAAACTGTTAGCGGAAAACATGGATACATTGCACTTGCAGTATTTTTATAAACCAATAAAATCTATTTTCCATTCATGAGTTTTCACCTACACAGAGTTTTTTGTGTGTGCACACATGATTCAGAAAGTATCTGACAGAAGATGAACACTTTAATAATATTTTCTAACATTTGTCTTAAATTTCTGTTACTGTGTTTTTCCTGAAGTTTACCTGTAAAACTTCACCTTACACTAGTTCTGGTGGCCCTTACTAAGCAGTTTATTACACCTTTCCCCAATTAGTCCATTCTAGATAGACTTGGCCATCTCTCAGTTGCCATTGGAGTAGTAGAATTTCTGATAAATATTAGAGAAGATGAATGTACAGCAGGTACGTTGCAATGAGTAACATTTGCTGGATTCAGTACCCCTAAATTAGAAAAAGATGTGACCAGATCGTTCTGTAGAAATGAGAGAACGAAGTTTCTAGGGTGGGTTGGGTCCTGATTTGAACCTTAAAAATTTCCCACGTTGCTGAATCTTGGCTGTTGAATTCAGAGGTCTCCAACCCTGGAGTTGCTCTTTTGTTTTAGAAGAGCTGCTTGGATGTTCCACTCCTGTTGCAGCCCACAGGGGCCTGAAAAAAGGACCAAGACCTGGCCCAGCTTGGTGACTTTTTGCCCATTACCTTTTCTCAGTCATGTCCTTCTCTCCCAGCTGCACTCCACAAGATCTCTCCCTCTTTTGCTCTATTCCACTTGTGTGCTGTTTAAAATAATAGACAAGCAGTGAAACATTTGGGGATTAACTCCTGATGTGGTGATTTTTTTTCTGTCTTAGAATTTCATAGAGAGCTGTATTTACGTATTATTCTGTTGTTGTTTTGTGCTGTTTTCAGCTTTTCTTTCATGTGACATCTGTAGTATATTCACATTTCCAGGACTGGCAGAAATCATATGACAGGCTGTGCATTGTTGTAAGAATCTTGGATCATAACTATCACCAATCTGAAAACAATAAATAAATAATAAATGCAGTAATGAATGTGGCAGAACATAAAATGCACTGAAAAGCAAAAATTAAATGCAGATTTATTCTAATTTATCTCACCAGGAAAATGGTCAACAACAGTGCTTGGGGAAGTGTTTGCACCAGATCAAGATGACTGGGACAATAAAACATTTCTCTCTGAAGGGAAACTGCTCAAGTGAGGATTGTATTTCTGTCAAAATGAGTAATATTTATGCTTCTGTAATTATTTTACCATGTATTTCTCTGTGTTCAGGATTGCATAAAGCCAGGGTTATTGAGTGTATTAAGGGATGTACCTTCTCAGTGCTCTTTTTCTTTTTCCTTTGGGTAGCAAAGTATTAAGAAAAGTAATGCATAAAATATTTTTTCCAAGAGAATGCAGGATCACACCATGATGTTGATTTTTAGTCAGATGTCACTGTTAATTTATTTTAAAATGTGCATTCTGTAAGATCCAGTGTAAAAATAGGCAGAGTTTCCAATGCTTGCTCTCAGATAAGAGAGTTGATGGAATACAAATCCCAAATTTAAAAATAAAGAATGGAATAATTTCATCCAGAGTGGAAGGGAATTTGGTGATCTCCTTTGATGTCTAAATTTACAATTGCCTGTGAAAACCATAACTCAGATTAGTGGAGTTTTTTCTGTTAATTGAAATGTTGAATTGGACTCTTAGTTCCTACTTAGACATTATTTGTTCATATCATAAAGCGAGGTGGCTGATGGCAGAACTGAGTGCTGTTTGAAAGGGAAGAAATAGATGTGAAAGTGAATGTGAATTTTTTGTCTGTGCTGTGACTAAAAATTTAAAAGCTTTATGTAGCCCAAAATTAGACTGCCTTTCTGTCCATCAGCAGCCCCTGGGCCTGTTTCCCTGTTAAGAGGCTACTGTTCCATAATATTGGAATATTTCCATACTTGCAGATTACTTTGAGGTGTGAAATGAAGGTGCTGTCAGAGATTTCAGACAGACCTGTTCCAGACAGAGATGTGATAATCTGGAATAATTTGTGTGGTTTGTCACTTTCTGTTTCTTACCTGAGCTCACGGTGACTATGAAACCCTGGTTCAACTGCACACTGATTTTAGTCAAATTTGGGAAAATCTGAGTGGCACAAACATCTTTTTATAAGCTCTGCAAATTGTCATTTCTGAACTAAGGTGTTTCTGGTGCTTTTCTGAGGTTGTTGGCTAATTCCCATCACTTTTGATCTTATAACCTTCACAGTAACATTTAAGGCCTTCTGAATCATGTTAATGAGTAAAGTAAGTGCTCAGTTTTGATTTAATAAAGTTTCCTAATTAAAGGTTTCTGTCTAGTTCTTTCAGATTAAATCAGAGGACCGGGTCTTTGCTGATGGTGGATAATACTCCTCAGGGAATATACAACTTAAAGGTTAGAGTTTCTGATGGAGTTTGTCCTGATGTTATATCTACAGTACAAATCCATGTCAGAGAGCTGGAAAATGAAGCCATACAAAACTCAGCCACTGTGCGTCTGTCAGGTTGGTTTTATTTGCTGGTGAGAGTTTAGATCAGCTCCTCCTCTAACTGAATGATTATGTGGTGTATGTATTGTTATATCAGTACTTGATTTACTAATCACTGTAGGGCACTTTCTGGTCTGTTTCCATGTTGTTAAATACAAAAAATTGAGAAATTAGCCTGTGATCTCCCAGTATCTCATGTTTATCTGTTTTTGAATCCAAACTCAGATGTGACAGCAGAGGAGTTCATAAGGAGAGATGAACACGGCAAAACGAGACATGGAGAGTTCAAGGAGTTACTTTCAAAAATGTTTTCTGCTAAGCTGAGTGATGTCATTGTCTTCAGTGTGATGAACAGGGGTGGAAAACAGACAGATGTCAGATTTGCAGTCCGTGGTGGCTCAGCATATTACAGACCTGAGAAACTGCACGCTGAGATGGCAGCGTTTAAAAATGAGGTTTGTGCATCTATGGAATTCACCCAGGCTCTGAGTTTGGGGGGTGTATATCCCAAACCTCAGTGGAAAGATATTCTAGATCTACAGATAAGGTTTTTATTGCTTCACTCAGGAAAAAAGCACTTGTCAAATAAATGCTTAATTCAAGATTCCTCCCTTCTTTAGTCCCACATCTACAGTTATTGTATGGTTTTACTGACTTTTGTGGTTCAGTGAATATAACCACTTCACAGCTGCAGGAAGATGGGTCTTCAGATCTCCATTTCCATCATGGGACAGATGCCTGTGTTTTCTCCACTTAGTGTTTCATTGTGTAATCTGTCAAGACTTTTGAATGTGAAATAAGAAGAATCCCTAGAAGCCAAAGTGGTACTGTAGTACAGACAGTGTCTTGGAAATGACAGCTTTTTGGATATTTCAGGTGCTGATGGAAATCTCCAAATCATCAGCCTGTGTTTAGACACTCAGATTAGAGGCTTGATGCCACCTACATAGAAATTCTATTGCACAAAGAGATGACACTTCATAGAAAAAGCCCTGCTGGGAGGAATATGCAGTTAGAAGAACAGTTACAACAGATAAGTGAGATGGAGATAACCAATTCTCTGATTGCATTTAGCTGGATGACTTTAAATACGAAGTGACACCCTCCTCCAACTTTATTTACTGTTATAAGAGGGAATTTCTGATGTGCTGTTTGTGGCTCTGGGGCCATGTTTGGGTTTTATACATGGTACGGCTTACGGAGGATTTTTCCCAAAGAGAAAACAGCACTTGCCATTTGTGTGAATATGGTGGAGTTTGTCTGATTCTGAGAACAAAACAGGACTGTCTTAACTTAACACCTGCCTACATCTTGCTGTATCTTAAATAACTGTATGAGACTGTTCAGAGTGACCAAGTAGGAAATGCCAGAGACAGGGAGTATTCAGGAAGGGTAACAACTGCTTCTTTTGCATATTTATTGAATTACTGCAACAATAATATAGAAAATTCTCTGCCACAGTGCATGACATTTGTATTCCTCAGAGTGGTAACAAGAGGATTGCTTTACTTATTTTAATGAAAAAAATACGTTTGTATTAATTATATATCACCTCTCAGTATTTAATGAATAGGTTTGGTGAGCAATCACAAATAGTTTACAGGAAAACAATCATAGCTGGAGAATTCCTCCACTAGTTTTTGTACATATTAACTATAAATACAGAAAATAAGTAATTAGCACTGGAATTATTTGTTGAATTGCTACATAAATAGTATGTTTGCATTACCTCCTTGGGATATAGTTTTACAACAGCTATTTTTATTTAGCAGAAAAATAATCCATCCTCATACTTTAGACATCTCTGTCTAAATGTGCATTACAGACCCTTCACTAATGGTTATAAACGTGGGCAGCAGACACAGAACTGCATTGACAGGATGCATCATGTCATTATAAAGTAACTTTGTGCCCATGGGGATGTGATCATCAATACATGTTACTATATTTGAGGATATATGGACAGTTGATTGTAAAGGTCGGAGTTCTTACAGTGTGCATTGAGATGACTGCACCAGTGAAAAGATAATAGAAGCACTTTACTTACATATTTGTTTTGATCTTTTCAAAACTTATTTTTAATAAATATGCCATACATTTTATAATTTGAAAAAAAACCCCATATTAAGTATATAAAGACCTGGTGTTGTTAGTTTTACATTTGTATGCCTTAGGGGATGCCACTGTGGGAGTAGTGAGGTCTCCTGCATTCAGGTTCGGGTGCTACAGACACATCACTTTAATGTATTTGAATCACCAAACACAAATCAAATTCTGAAGCTTTCTAATAGACACCTATGCAAAATCCCCAAGCAAGTAGAAGGAAGAAATCTGTGCCAGGGAACAAACTTTGTCATAACTTAGTCCAGTGCTAAGGACAAAAAACCAGGAATAATGGCAGCTCTGTTCCTGCCTCAGGCACCCCATGAACAGCTGCTTCCCTTCCCTGTGCTCTGCTGGGGCTTCCTTGGTCTGTTTGGATTAGAAGGTGGGAACTGCGGAGATGCTATTTCTGCATTACAGACCTGTGTGTACACTGAGGCTCTGCTGTTTATTTGGGTACTTGGGCTTTCAGATGCAACCCCAATTAGTGATAAAAATGATGAATAGCAAAGATTAATGTAGCATAGAATGGAGCATCCAGGATGCTGAACTGACGAGGTTTTGTTTCAGACAGTTTGACGTTAAATGTAAATTTATGGGGCACGAATCATTAGACTGAAGCAGAGTTGCTGCAGAGTTGTCTTTTCAGGTCACTGTCTGTGGACATGATTATTGAAAGCAGCTCAGCCCTGCATGTTCCCATGTCTGTGTGCCTGTGTGTGAGAGAATGTAAGAAACAGTATCTGGGTGTTACTCCTGAGGAATTTATCCTGGCTTGAGCTGAAATTTGCCTGTTGCTATCAGGGTGCAGAGAGGTGTGACACAGATGACACAGATCACAAGGTGGAGTATCACTGCTCCCAGAGCTTTGGTCCTTGGAAATAGTGTTAGTAGGCCAGTAGAGATTTAACATGTTTGCAGTCAGTCATGTCAACGATTCAGTTTTTAGGAAATGCTGCTGTAATTTGTTTACAAAATTTTTCCTGTATTTTTTGGGTAATTTTGCTTTGTCCGTATACTCAGGGATGTTATTAAGAAACAAGAAACTAAAGCATTCCATGAAGTCTCTGATGGCTTAGAGTTTTCAGAGGTTGAGTGAGTAAAAGCCTTTGTTAGGATTAGAGTGGTGATGTATTAAACTGTATTTCCTCTTAGATCCAGTCAGCTTTGCAGCTGAACATCTCCCAGATCGATGTGGACGAATGCAGGAGTGCAAACTGCAGTGAGGGCTGCACAAACCACCTGAGGGTGGGCGACATTCCAACAGTGATGGACACTGGGAGCGTGTCCTTTGTCTCTCTCACAACCACCGTCCACCCGATCTGCGGCTGCTCCGCCCGGGAACGACTCCACCAGCCCTGCTCCTCCTACCCTCGGAGCCCCTGTCTCAATGGGGGCATCTGTACTGACACCTTGAATGGCTACAGGTGAGCACACTTGTATTGCACATTATCTTTTTCCTCCTGTTTTTAAAGTGACAGGTAGAGCTTACAAGATACAGGTCTAAAATAGTCAGAAAGATACTTCTGACTGAAGGAGAAACAAAAAAACCCACACTCACCCTGGGGCCTAAACAGGGTCTTTCCTAATGACCCTGTACTCCCCAAAGCAGTGGAAAAATAGTGTGTGAGTAAGAAGGAAAACTCTGGGGAAAACAAAATGCTGTGATTAACACGTCGTTTTTTAAGAGCATCTCGTTCAGTGTGAAGGAATGTGTGCCCTGGATTTTTTGTTTTCCAGAAGAATAATAATAAGGGTGGCTGTCAGAGGATATAGGAGTGAAATGTAGTTTAAACAGTGGGTAAGAGGGAGCTTGAAAAACATTAGATAGGAAACTTGTTTTGTTGTAGCATCACCTGGCATGCAGAAGTATTCCCTCTGTGAAATTATATTGGTTTATTCCAGCTAGGAATTAACCCCCCTGAGTTTTTAAATTGATGTTTGGTGTTCTGTGTTACTTATTTAGGGAAATAGTTCATTGTTCTCAAACACATGGCCTCAAAAATACTTTTTTTTTTTTGAGGGAGATAGTACAGGGAATAAATATGCTTTGTACTCTTAGAGTATTTTAATAATTGCCAAGCACTCCTGAGATTCTGCTAAAAATCTTTGTTCCACTGATATTTTTTTACTGTGACTTAAGTGCTGCTTTTGTTGCATGTAAAATTAAAAAAAAAAGTTGAACATGGGGGAATTTTTACTATTTCTTTTGTTTATGATCTTTCAGATGTCTTTGTCCGGCTTCCTTTCATGGACCAGAGTGCCAGCAGACTAAGCACAGTTTCCATGGAAATGGATATGCATGGTTTCGTCCCATCAGGCCTTGTTTTGAAAGCTCACTCTCTCTAGAGTTTATTACTGTGGTTCCAGATGGACTTTTACTATATAGTGGTCCTTTATCAAATCCAGAACCTGGGAATACAGAAAACTTCATTGCAATAGGTACTTCTGCAGAAGTGTGTGGAAAAATTAAATGTCTTTGAGAATGGGTTGCCTGTGAGCAGTGTAATACTTAGTCTGTGAATTCTGTCCTTTCGTTTAATGAGATAACTTATTTTCTGGTGTGAAAATACTTTAAATCATTTCCTGATAGGTCTTTTCTCCTTTGATGTCTATTTCTGTAGCCTGCACCTATGGCTTTAGGTCCGTTGCAGAGTTGTAGAAATGAAGGGGAAAGCAAAACAGATTGATACATGTGTAAAAAAAATAATCCACCTAGAAAAACTGTAGTGCTATAAAGGAATTTAGGTACTTTGAAGACAGGTATTACCTGATTAATGTAGTCTTAGTCGCATGTCATTCTTATCTAGTTTGGTGAGAAAATAAATCCACTTAACCTGTCAGTTTTGGGGCAATTTTACACTTTTTTTTGCACAGGCAGTGATTTAATGCATGAATCCAGCCCCACATGCCACACAAGTGTAGAACTCAGTGCTTTAGTTGACACAGATTTAAAAGGTTACTACTGCTTATTTTTTGTGGATTAATATACAAGATGCACAGCATGGTTGGCATTTTTTATTTTCCCAATTAATGGAAAGGTAATATTGTTAATAATTTACCTTTTTTTTTTGCCTTTCTTTGCAGTTCCTTGTAAATTTGAGTTGAAGGTGGGAGTTAAACCTGCATGTATTGTTTAGAACATCATAAAATTGCAGATTGCTTATCAGGAATTAGTTTCAGTGTTTTGACAGAAGTGGCATAATCTAAAGTATAAAAATAAGTAATATACTGAATGAGTATTTCTGCATAGTGGAAGTCCTAGAATATAATTCTAGTTATTTCTGTAGTGAACCCACTCTACATGACCAGCAATAACCATTAAATCAGTACAGTCACTAACTGCTGACATATCCAAAATGGAAGGATTCTTGTTTAAAGCTGAGTTTAATTTCTTGCCCATGTTGTGTTAGAACTCTCCAGTGGTATTCCTGTGCTGAAGATGAGCCACGGCTCAGGCTTTGTGGTGCTGCAGTTTCCAAGCCATCTGAATGTAGCAGACAAGAAGTGGCATCGACTAGAAGTCAGAACCAATGGTCAGGTCAGTTTGTTTGGGTTTTTTTTATTCCACAGCAGGATATTAATATTTCCAATAGCATTCCTCTGTGTGGAAACAGGAGGGTAGAAAGAACAGACTGGGTAATTATATATATATTGTTCTACCTGTCCTTGTAGATTTGATGAATAATATAAATTTTGGGAAGACCACATTGTCAGTTCCAAATCTACCTATGTTGTAATTTATATTCTATGTTCAGAAGAGTCTTTCTGCCTTTTTTAAGTTCTACAGCAGCACACATGGAATGTGCACAAAAAGTCAGTTGTGATTTGCACATGCAGTGCACACATTTGGACACTGGAATCTATGCACAAAAAGCAACAATTATTTAATTTGCAAATGCAGTTACATGTCTTGTGTAAGTGGTTAAACTGTTCAAAAGCATAAATAAAATGCAGGGTTAAGTTCCTTCTTTTGCAAAATGGTTCCGTTTTGACTTTACTGGTTATTGCAAGAGGGAAAACAGAACGGGGGGAAAAAACCAACCGTTTATTGAATTTTGTGGAAATGGTTAATTCAGCAGCCCTTGTTTTGGCACAGGATGTTCGGTTCACTCTGGATCAGTGCAGTGCAGCTGTTGTCTCGGAGATAGAAGGAGTTGGCAAATGGTTGTCCACTGAGGATCGTACAAACTGTGAAGTGTTTGGGTCTGTCCCACGAAGAGCAAGGTACATTTCCAGAGACTCCCTGAAAGACAGTTGGTTCTAAGGCCTGTGAACATTCTGCCTATCAGATTGAAGCCCGAGTTGTTAATCACTAGGAGCCTAAAAGCATTTCCTTTTCTCTAGGACCCTCTAGGCTGAGCCTGGACCTTAAAGCACTAAATAAATTTTAAGAAACCAGTCTTCCCCTGAGTAGTGTTGCAGTACTAAGTGACAACCCCAGAACACTGTGGGATTGATGCTGGAGCTCTTCTGTACCATCCTTTGCCTGCAGAATTTCTCACTGTTTATCAAGTCACTGTGAGCCTGCTCTTGAAAACCTCCTGAATTTAGGCCACTTGGCTTTGTAATGGCAGTAACTGTATCCTCAGCCAATCTGACTGTCTGATTGGGATAAGTCTGAGGGCTCCTGCTGACGGCCTTGAGTGAACATCTTAAGGCAGACTAACACCTTGGGGTCTCTGGCTGATCCAAGACTCCTGCCTGTATAGCAGAGCCAGAGGAAGTGCACATGTATCCATGCTGTTCCCAGCCTGGTGCACTTGTGCAAACTGCTGATCCAAGGCTGCTGCTGATGTGTCTGTGATCCTGTACTGAAACAAAACCCACCCATGTTTGATTTCCAGGGAAGTAGTTCAGCCAAGGAGCAGTAGTGACTGGGGTGGTTTAAATTGCTTGTACTGTTGGGTCAGCACTTAGCCTCAGTTAGAACCAAAAAAGTTGGAAAATTTGATTCAAAAAGCAGTTATTACATTCAATGTATAATTCAGTCACAGAATTGTAGAGTGGTTTGGGTGCAGGGTGGACATGGACCAGCTGGGAATAGTCCAGAGAAGAGCAGTGACTGTAAACAGCTTGTCTTGAGAGTAAGATCTATCAAGAATGAAGGAATTGAGGTCAGTTAAATGAAAGAAGGGAAAACTGAGGAGAGATATGATAAGTCTCAGCGTATATAAAAGAATGGTACAAAGAGGATTTAGACAAGCTCTTCAGTACAGGGCCTTAAAGTTACAGTGAGGAATATTCAGGTTACATTTTAGGGGAACCTTTGTACAAACAAAGATACTTGAGCTGTGGAATAGATAGTCCAGCAAGTGCTCTGATTAGCAGTGGGATTAAGCCTTGTCAGCAGCTGTATGGAGCCCTCCTGATCATGAAAGAAGCACACAAAAAGGGTAAAATATAAGAAAAAAATGAAGAAAAAAATTGAAGTGATAACTCAGGGAAAAAGGAACTGTGAGGACTAAACTATGTGGAATTCTTTGGCTCAGAGAGCTGACTGGGAGACACTGCAAAGCCTGGACATGTGTATCATACCTTTTAGACCACATGGACCCACCAACTCTTGGGTTTCTGACCTTTAGTGCACACAGAACAGTCTTTTTGGTAGTATTCCTACAGCATAGGATGACTGTGCACACACAGAGCACTTCAAGGAGAATATGGTGTCTGGAATATCACAGCTGTTTCTGATGTGAACATAAACATACCTGAATTGTAATAGTGTCCCACAGTAAAACTTCCAGCAGATTTCACTGTCATGTTTAAAAAAATACCCTTTATTTTGAAGGGCCAGCTTCTACTCACTATTTTAGAGAAAGAGGAAGATAAAGTAGTTGCATTCTGCTGTGATTTTATAAAGCCCGTATTATTTGGAAATGCAGTGTAGGTATTTATTTATCTGCATTGTTATGTAATGCTTCTGTTTGAAGGTAGATGCACATCTGTTTTTATTATTTATATGATTTTTAAAGGTATTTGAATGTGAACCATGTTCTGCAGCTGGGTGGTGTAAAAGAATCGTTGCCATATTCCTACCCACAACTGCTACACAAACATTTCTCTGGTTGCTTGCGCAATTTCATACTGGATACTCAGGTAAGAGCAGTGTAACATTTGCTTTAGCGAAGGAGCAAATCTCTTTATTAAATTTTTGGGAGATTTGTATTATTCCTGAAACTTCTGCTTCCATTAATCCATTCAATGCCCATGTGAGTCACTGTAAAATACAAGAAAATTCTGGATTTTTCTGTCATAAATAGAATAAATTATAGAATAGAATAAATAGAACAAACTATCTTTAAAATGTACTTCTCAATTAGGAGCAGATGTATTAATGAGTCAGGAACTGTGTGTTTGTTTATCCCCTGCTTCATGCAGCTGTTTTCCAAGCTTCTTTACACTTTCAGGGAACTTCTGAATGGCAATTGTATAATGGTATATTTATGCCAGCTGTCTGCTTTGTTTGGAAGTATTAAGGGCTTTTGCTTTCATAGTCAGTCGAGTTTATTCAAAGGCAAAAGATGCTCTTGATAAAATAAGTCGAAGTCTGAATGTCAAAAAGCAAACGTAGCAATTCAGCAGTGCAGATGAGGATCAGGCAGTGAAGTGGTGCAGCTATTTCTGTTCAAAATGAAGCATAAGTGTTTCTTTGGTAATATTTTGGTGTCACACAATTTTCTCTTGAAGGTATATGACCTTCAGTCTCCTGCAGAGTCCCTGAATAGCTTCCCTGGCTGCACGCTGACAGATGAGAGCTGTGAGACCATGGGATCCTCTTCCTGTGGCATTCACGGGAGGTGTCTTGGTGACTGGGGCTCGTTCTCGTGTCACTGTCTGCCGGGTTACCACGGTTATCGGTGTGACAAAGGTGAAGCCTGTTTTTCTCTTTCATTATTGATAGGCTGCTAAATTTTACAGTACAGAAAACTTCAAATATCTGAAGGTAATGATTGCTGAGGCGGTTCCTTAGGTTTACACTGTGTAAAGCCATGTTTCAGTGTAGTTGTTGCCTGTGATTGTTAAAAATTTCTCTTCTACTTCCCTTTGAGAAATGACTTTCTCTCTATTGGGTTATTTCTTTAATCCATAGGGTGTTTGTGCAATAACTGTATAATGGAGACTGCATGACAAAAAAATTGTGAAAAAAAATTATTTGACTTTATCACAGTTTTTTGATTTGCATCTCTTTTCACTTTCAGAACTATGTAATAACCTAAAAACATGAGTGTGCCAGTACCACTTTCTGTGCAGAATTAGAACCACACAACTGAAAGTAGAAATCACTGCTCTCTTGGTGTCAGGAAGGGACTCTGCTGGCTTAAGGATCTGTGCTTTGGGAATAGTAGGACCTTTAGCTTTCATGGAGCCACAGTTTGCAGCAGAAAGACAACTATAAAATAGCAGGTTGTGAAATTTGATTGCGGTACTTAATACTTGGTCTGCAGTCTCTTGTCTTGGTCAGAGCTGCTGCTTTCCTGCTGTTGTCCCATATGAGCACTGTAAGGAGGAGCATTAGCAGGATCAAGTCAGGCAGGAGAACACCTCTTTACAGAGAAAGATGAAGTGGGAGGGTGACTGGGGAAGCTGTGGAAATAATGAGGGGGCATGTCCCGAAAGACAAGCTGTCTCATGGATCCAGGCTGTGCACTGCAATTGTCTCCTTTTACTTTCAACACTTATTATGACAATAAGGGAAACAATGATATTTTCCTCTGCTCACAAAAAGGTTTAAAGGTTTTTATCCCTTTTAGCTGCCCAGGAATACACCTTTGAGCCGGGGGCTCACATCCGGTACCAGCTCCCGGTGAGCGTCTCTGCCCGCAGGACGCTGTTCCAGGCCATGGTCCGCACTCGGCAGCCCGACAGTGTCATCACCAGCATGTTGTCTCGGAGGAAGGACGAGCACATCACCCTGCAGGTGAGCCAGGCACCTGAGACAGCAATAGCAGGGAGTTACATCAATGCCAGTCACAGTGAGCTCAGACAAACATTAGCTTAGGAGTTGGACATAGAACAAGAAACCTTACGCTGAGCACAAACACTTTGGAATTTGTTTTATGGATACACACAGCTCTGATCTTTTGCTTGAGATACTGACTGCACAACTGTGGTATCCCATTGGATTTGAAAGGAATTTATTGCCAGATGCAGTGAAATACAGTTTCTGTACACACCAGGATGAATAGAGTGTTGTCCACTGGTGTCCCACTGAACCATGTGGCTGATTCTGTGTGGTTCAGACTCTGCCAAGCCAAGTGCCTGTAGCAGTTCTAATGCTGGCAGGCTCTCAAAATGACAACCTTTTCATTTTACACATACTACAGAACGAGTCACCTCTTCAGCTAAGTTAGTTTGAGCTGTCAGTGTAGCTGTGATACAGCCATTTGAAGAACCCCATAAATCTGTGCAAGACAGATGCAGGGTACAATTATTCTGAGTGGCTTAGATACTACTGTGAGTTCACTGCTACCAATATTTAGGTTGTCTAGTTCAGTAGCACCTGTATATGCAGTGTAAACATACCCTAAATTTAAACAAATGCTTTAAGATTGAAGTTACAGGTCAATACCAAATGTCAAGGAATGACTTTTCTTTCTTGCTGTTTATTAATTATCCACAAGCTTGTCCAGGGACTCTTGGTGGTCTCATACAACCTGGGTGATGGAGACTATTCTGTAAGCCTTCCCTCCTACCACATTGATAATGGTGAATGGCATCATATCACACTGGAGAGAAATGAAAATGAATTTACTCTTCGCCTTTATGAAGGAGGTGGGAAGAGAGAGATTATGAAAGCAGAAGGATTATACAAAGAGATTGTGATTGACCCCAGCAGCTTGGTCCTTGGAAACACCTATCCATTCAATCAAAACAGGAGTTTTCAAGGTAGGAATTCTTGATCTCACTGTTCAGAATATGGACCTGTAAAAATGAAGGTTACATGGGCATTTTGCAGGAAGCTTTCTTGTTTATGGAGATCCCAAAGTACACAGATTTCATGCATGGCACTTTGCAAAAGGGACAAATAAGCTGTTCTGACTAGGAAAAGGTACAGCAGGGATGTACAGCATGCACATATGGTCAGCTACTGGACTTGGAACAGAGATGGGTCACCTCTTCACTTGGCTGCACACACCAAACTGGTTTATTACCTTTGCATTACTGGATTTTACACTCAGTCAAAGCGCTAACTAAAATTAGAAATGGTTTATTGAATTAGAGCTAACAGTCTGAATTTTTAGCAACTGAGTGGACAAAGTCACCGTGTGTGTTAAAAACAAATCAATTTTCAGCCTGGAAATTGAATCAAAACTTTAGCAGATTCAGTCAAAAAATTAAGAAAAATGATATGAATGTTAAAGTAAATTCAGTCCTGGATTTAAACTTTGGTAGCCTGGGTTCTTTGTTAAACATAAGCTGCCAAATCTTACAGCTGCTTCACATCCTTCTTGCTGAATGTCTTCTAAAACCATCTCTTTTTGCCTTGCTTCAGGATGTATGAAGGATGTCAGATTTAACAACTACAGAATCCCTCTGGACACTCAGGGGAAGGAGCTGGTGTCAGTATTGAGTGCCCAAGGCATCAGAGAAGGCTGTTCTTCGGAGGCCTGTAGGAATAACCCTTGTAACCAGGAATTTATTTGTATTGATTTGTGGATGATGCATGAATGCAGGTAATTGGTGGAAATAGAAGCACAAAGCCCTGTAGATTGAGGTGGGAAAGGGTGAGTGCTGAACTGCAGCTCGAAGGCTGCCATTGGCAATCTCATCAGATCAGTGGCACACAAAGCTGGATGCCTGCACAGACAGCAGGTTACTCTGTCCTTACAGGCACCACCCTCAGCTGGCTCCAGGGATTCTGTAACAATTTTGGCTTCCTGCCTCTTTGGTTAGCGTCTGACATCTTACACTGTCTCAGGCTGTCACCTCTGTTCCCTTCCAGGCCACTTGGGCTGTGTCAGAAACGTTGCACCATTAAGCTCAGATTCTTGTGTGTGGCTGGGGCTGGGGTCAGGACTCTAATTCAAGGTAGTTGTGCTGTGCAGATGTACACTTTTCTTATATACACACTTCAGTGTTTCCATGCATTCCTGACTGCCACTGTCCACACAATCGGAGTTTCCTTACTTTGGAAACACAAAGAACATAGCATAGCTTGTCCTGCCTGGCCAGAGCTGCAGACCCTGATCCAGCTGTTTTTCACAAGGATAATCTTGCAGAAACCAATGGAATACCCAAGTTCTGAAAGCCCCAGACAAAAGGGTTAGAAGTTGTGGAGCTCATTATTGTATGGCTGCTCCAGGAAACACCATAATCCCATAATCATTTCACAGAACTCACTCCCAGTAGCTACTTCAGAAACCGTACGTAGAGTGTCAACAACTGTTCTGAAATCTTCAGCGCTGTCTTCCACGCCTGCTTTTCTCGAAGTTTAACGGTGTAACTTGCCCTTGTTCTCTGCAGGTGCCCGCGGGGGCACATGGTGGTGGAGAACGCGTCGGGCCGGCAGTGCGTGCGCACGGCGTGCGCGGAGCGGCCCTGCCACTACGGCACCTGCACCGCGCGCTCCCCGGCTGAGTTCCAGTGCCACTGCCCCGACGGATACACCGGGCGCCACTGCGAGGTCACCCTGGCCATCTTCCACAAGGACACGGGCCTCAGCTTCAGCTCCCTGTTCGCCATCTGCGTCTGCTTCCTGGCGCTCTTAGGTAGTTACGGCAACTACGTCTTGTATTACCTTTGGTGAGCTCACCTTTGGTGTCCGTCTTGTCCTGAGCTCTTGTCATCTCATCCTCCTGCTGGAAAACTCCATTTCCTCATGGAGACTTGACTCTGCCTTCATTTCTTTGCCATGATCCCGGCTCTGGCAGTAACTGATTGTTCATCCCCGTGTGCACCCATCGCTAAGTGAATCAACGTTTGTGAGCTGTGGGAAGTCTCTGCAGTTTTTTTTTCTGCACATTTGCACTTCACTTCTGACGAACTGTTCAGATGCATAATTGGAAGGAAATGCAACTGAACAGCAAGAGTGGAAATTGCTACCAGATAAGCATTGTTTAAAATACTGCTGAGCGTGAAACAGATTTTTCAATGCAGGAGAAACATACAGTAGGAACATACAATAGGAATACACTCCGTCAGGCAGGAGCAGACTTTGCATCTTTCCAGTTGTGTCCCAGCTCCTAAACAGCTCCTTTTGTCTTCCTCAGCCATTTTCAGGCTTAGGCATTGAATCTCAAAAAGAAGAGGAAAACCAGAAGGATTTTTACTAGTGAGGAGAGATCATATCTTTGAGCCTTTCTTGTTTAATCAAATGTCGTAAAAGTTTGCCTGAGTAAGGACACAGGATTTTTCTCATGGCTTTTAGAGTGTTAATGCTGTTTCGTTCAGAAGTTGTAGTAAGAGTATGGAAATGTATTGTGGACTCTCTGGAATCCATCTGTGTAGCTACCTGAAATGCCATCATGTTCCTCAACTCTGCTAGATACTATGTTTGCCATGCAAATATGAGCAGCAAATTCGTGGGAAGCTAAGTGGTATCACAGCTTTTGGAATCCCAGATAGCTGAGGTTGATAATAGATCATTGTTAGAGGGCATGGACCTCTGTGTACCCCAGTTTCAGTCTCAAGGGTCATTTAGATGCTGCTCCAGACCTTCTGCCATGTGGATATTCTGTAAGAGATTCTAGTTTCTTTAATTCACTGCATTGTTATTTTATGGTATTCAATGCTTTGAGGTCTTACTATGAGCATTTATCAATTTTTATAGAGTTGGTAACACTGTGATACACAATTTTCAATTTATATTATGTTCATTATCTGATGTTGGAGCTTGTCAGTGTGTAAAATGCACCTCAGCATTTAAGAAAAACGTTTAAATTCATGAATGCTAAGGCGAAATGTGCCTGATCTTTTTTTTCTAGTAAAACATCTAAAAGTGATTTCCTCTTTTGTCTTGTGTCTTCTTGTGTCTCATTTGTGTGTAATTGTGTCTGTTACTGTCACCACGTTGTTCCTTCAGTGCTTCCTCTCTGTAAAGCATTTTCTGTGACACAGTTTAACTCCACACAGGATAAGAGGCAGTTCAGAGACACCACTTGGGTCATTCAGGTCTTTAACAACTTCAAAGGGTGTTGCAAAATGCTCTTTAAAGGCTTTTCCTCTGTATTTGATGTTCACTGTAACTGCTCTGAGGAGTGCAAACACCAGCCACATGCTGAGAAAGCCCCAGTGCAGCAGTGCTGACCCTGCAGTGCATTGGGGGTTTACTGGGGTCTGTATCATGCTCTGCTCTGCTCCTGTGTTCCCACAGCTCTGCTCAGTGCTGGATTCCTGTGGGCTCACTGGAAGACACGCAAGGGTCTGCACGGAGGCGTTTACCACGGATCTGCACATCCCGAGGATCTGGAGGACATCAGAGAAAACATCCTCAACTACAACGAAGAAGGGGGTGGGGAGCAAGACGAAGTAAGGATCACTGTTAAGTTACAATTAAGAGGGGACTGGTGGCTCACCGTGCTAAGGAAAACACATTTTATGGTTTGTCCTCAGCCTTTGTTCTGCTGATTCACTCCTGCAATTGGCAGATGAATTATTTGTAGGGTTCTGTACACGAGGGTGTGTGTTTCCTAAGCAGAGATAAGTGCCTATTCATTTTTAATTTGTCTTAAAGCGAGTGGTCCTGTGTGCATATTGAAAGGAGCCTGGAGAGCGAGTTTAGCAGCAGGGAACTGTCAGCTGGTGGGTTTGGTTTCACAGCTCAGGAGACCCTGAGGTGCTCAGGGGTCATTACTGGGATAGCTCTGAGGGCCTCAAAGAGCCTGGTGTGAACTATTCCTCATGGACAGACTCTTTCTGGAGGCTGCTCCTGACAGCAGGTATTCACACCTGACTTTAAAAGGAAGGGGAGGTGCTGCATTCACTCCTCTTAAGCCCTGAAGCAGGTGGTGGTTGTGAAAGAACCTTTCTGCATTTTTCTGTTCTGGACAGAAATGCACCAGTGAACACAAGCTGTGTTTACACTTAGAGCAGAGCAGATTATACCCAAACAGATATAATTAACATTTCTGCTAGCTGCTTTTACGTTTTCAACACGTCAGGTGAAGACAGAGCTTTGAAAGAAAATTGTGGATATTATAGATGAGTAGTCTAAACAGATTATTTACTCACCCATGGATGTTTGCTATGTTTAAAAAAGGTAAGAAACTTAATTGTCACCTTTGAAACTGTCCTTTTTGTGAATTCAAGGAGTGGTGTGACTCTGCAGAGGTAATATAGTCATGGCACCAATGTGATGGGTCAAAAAAACCCAGTGATTTAGAAAAAGTATTAAATTTGACCTGTCCCAAAATTCCAAATATTTTAAAGAATTTGTAGTTATAAAATATAGAGAGTGTTTTGCCAGGCCACCTGGGAAAATACTCTTACTTGTAGAATATCCTTATTTTCTTGGTGAATTAGTGGGAAAGTAATAAACACAGAGACATTTTCCATGTGATAACATAGACAGCTTTAAATCCTGTTTTCCTTAATCAGATTAACTTCCTCTGCAATATTTTGCAATTTTACACCCAGAAGGTCTCTGAGGAAATCCACAGTTACTGTATGACATGTTTAATTACTTTTGGAGAGTTCTTAAAATACACTCCTTGTTTTAAGGAGAAGAATCAAATTAGTGATTTGATGATCTTCATCTGAGGCTATTACTCTGCCTGAAAAAACAATGCTTGGAGTGAAGCCTCTCTGGGTTCTGTATACTCTTCCTAAATTCTTCAGATTTAACAGTTGCTGGGATTGCAAGCTAAAACTTCTCAAGCTAAAACCTAATTGATTGTCTAGATTAAAAAAAACCCCAACCCGCAAAATACCCAGAATTACACCACCTTAATTGTGTTCTAATGTTTCCTTAACAAAAGGATCATGAGGGTACTTGGACAAGAGAGTTTTGGGTTTGTAAAGTTAGCAGAGGGTAGGGCTGTGGGGACAAGAGGCTGTCTTACAAAGGAGTTTCTGCATCTGAAATAAATAAAACTGTCCCTCAGAGAAATTAGGAGTTCATAAAAATTGCAGGAGGTCAGTGCACTGTTGAGTACACACTGAACTCAACACATTGTTAAAAGCCAGCTCTGGACCCAGAGGCAAGGGTTGAGTTGGTGTGGTTTGTAGATGGCCAGCTAAGAAGGGTTTATTATCAAAAGAAATGTGTCATTTTAATGAACAACTAATAGCAGTGAAGGATGATTTTAATATCACCCAGTTCACTGAAAGGATGATCCTCAAGTCTCTACTGGAACAAATTCCCATTTAAATTGTGTACGATGACACGTTGCCCTGTTGTGGATTCCCCTGGAAGCTGAGCTACTCAGGGTGCTCTTAGACACTTATTTAGAACGTGCCCAAGACAGGGATCTGTACTGTAGGCCTCACTGTTCATCACCAGCAGTACTTAGTTTCTGGAGGAATGGAAATAAGCAGCTCAAGTCCCAAATCCCCATCTTGCCACTTACACAACTTCTTGATTGCAGGTGGGTTTTTCGAGGCCATTCTGTCTCCAGTTGAAAATCTGTGAAGCTCACTGGGATTACCTAGGATAATCTCTTACAAAGTGGTTATGCACAATTCCACATGTGGGAGAACAAAAGGAATCTTTGGGAAGTCTGATTCCACAACTCTGTCCCTGATTGTTCATGAACAGTGTTAGCAATACAAATAATTACATTTGCTGTAGTGAGCTCTGTCTCACACAGCCTATCATTTTTCTTTGGCCTGTATATCTGTCCAGGGCCACAACTTTTGGGTTGTAGGAAGGTGAGGGACGCTGTGGGACAGGATTCATTTATTTCTTTCCGGTGGCACAAAGATTCTGATCAGTGAACACAAGTAACTGTTGGCATTGGCAGCTTTAGTGCCAGAAGTTGCAGCATAATTCCCAGACAGCACTTACTATGGCTGCACCAGAGGGGAATTATTTACTTTTTTGGGACTAAGTAGTTTTACTTGGCTTTTACAGTCGTGCCACTTTCATATAACATAACCAGTCATTATTCTACAGATTGATAAAATTCTATCAGAAATCAGAATAGCATTGTTTGAACTACTACTGCAGGAGTATTTCTTTAACGTGCTGTTGGTGAATATTCTGTCTCACCTCTTCTGCCAGACTTGGTGTCAATATTTAATGATGGTAAGATACTCAGATCTGAATTTCAGAACAAAAATTGAGGCATTTCTGTCATGTTTATTTAGCTTCTGGTGTGAAATCAGACTTGATTTTGGCCATCCATAGCAGTGCAGACTGCACAGGTGTTCCTGGGTTTTGGCTGTCTTAGGTGTGTTGCAGGTGGCAGAGTCAGTTGAACACCCAGTCCTCCAGGTGCTCACACTGCATGGACTGGCTCGGGGTCGTAGTTTCTTTATTTCCACTGGAACATGAACTTTTGGGACCTATAGATGATATTAATTTGCTGTGACTGGTTTCTCACTGCAGGATGCCTACAACATGGCAGAGCTGCAGGTGTCTCTCCAGGCCAGCCCAGCCTATTCCCTCTGCAGGAGGAAAGAAACCCTGATCCAGCACAAGGGTGTCCTCGGCGCTGCGTCTCCCTGCATGCAGGGCCAGCCCCGAGCAGCAGCCACTGCAGGAGCTGCTTTTTCCAGCGCAGACTTTGGTCAGTACCTGTCAGGAGTGCTCAGAGAAGCTGACTGGCATGGCCAGGCCCTGCCCCAGGACTCGCTCCGGGTGTTCTGCACGGAGGGAGCCGGATCGGGAGCCGGCAGCCTGAGCTCCCTGAGCTCCGCTGGGCTGGAGGAAGGAACAGTCTACGATGACATCAAAGAGTGGGGACCAAAGTTTGAGAAGCTGAGTGAACTGTACTCACAGAGAGATACAGGAGACCAGTAGATCACCAAGTCTCCTATTTTCAGTTTTGGAAGCAAGGGTGATGTTTTTCATGCTCCTGCTCTGTACTACCCCTACGCTCCCTTTTTGACTTATTACAACAGAGATTCAGGTTCTCTGAAGAGCCACACTTGGCAGTGAATTGAAAAGTGTGAAGGAGCTAATCTTGGGACATTCTGAACATTTACGTTTTTGGATATAAACTTACTGGGAAGAATAAAGGAGAAGTTGGGGTACTTAATCATTCACATGCAGTGGCTAAGAAGTACAGAATTTTTTCTGTTGCTGAAGTACTGCAGGACTCAGAGATCCCAGCACACAGCCTGAGGTGTGCTCAGAGCCCGAGGGAAGTGTGCTGGGAGTGCTGCTTCAGTCGGTGCTTTAGCAGTTATTTGAAGATGAAAAGCACATTGCCTTTTTGTTGTGCAAATCAAGTCCCTGTTGTATTATATCCCTCTTGTTCCCCGGAGTGAGCCCAGTGAGAGCTCCTGCTCACTGAACATCCTGCAGGTGAGAGTCCACGGATCCAGGTAAAGGAATGAACAGATGGGTGGTGGTTTGAACTTCAGTTATAACATAATGAAATTTCTTTTTCCTGTCATACAAGTACAGAAGCTGGATTTAGGCACAACACATCCAGCCAGCTGCCTACAACTAAATGCTTTTCCTAAGGAAAAGGCCAGGTAGGAATTTCAGTAGCAAACCCTGCAGTTCACCATGATCTCTCATTACTAATAGACTACTAAACTGAGCCTAAACTAAAGACCAGCCTGAACTGTGCAATATCATCTGCAATCGTGTCCCCACGTTTTTCTGAACCTCCTTTGACAGAAGCATTGCAGGAATTAGGTTTGAGAGGCTGACACTGCCTGTTCTATAGATACACTGACCAGCTACAATTGGAGCCAAGTAATGCCACGCCAGGAGGAGCTGACTGGGGACACAGATGCATTTCCAGTGAAGAAAAAACTCTGCATCCCTTGGAACTATCCTGTCTTTAGGATGTCAGAAGAATGAAGGTCTTTCCAAAAAGAACTTCACACACCACTGGGACTTCTGAAAATAAAGTCCCATGATAAACAAAACTCTGGGACCAGAGGAACACAGGTAAAAACTAACAGCAGTAGCAGGGGATGGAATATTATGCTCTGAATTACCAGTCCCTTTTTCAGACCATTTAATGTCCAGCTACTATGCTGGATTTTTCTTAAACTTGACAATATTAGACAGAGGGAAGGTACCACAAAATTAATTTTGATTTTTTTTTTTTTTGAGACCACTTGTACAGCTAAATGGAGTACAGTGCAGCAAGACCAAAATCTTAAGCTGTACTGTTTATGTATTATATGTAAATTATATCTGTTATAATATATAAACTATATATAATATGTACATTATATATTATCAGATGATAATATGGATATATCCTGGATTCTAATAACTTGTTTCATTGAAACAAAGCATGAAACAATGTATTGCAAAAGACATTAAAACTGCTTTGCTCACACTTGCATCAGTAGTTTGTTTTGGGAGGCTTTGCTTTTATTTTTATACTATATTTAAAACCATAAACAGGTGAATGCTGTCTGCAGGCTGCCTTAACTTGCACGTTTCCCAAATGAGACATGTTCACACAGTAGCTCGTTCTCACGTGCATTTGTGACACACTGGAAAATCTTGAGCACACCATTAACCACTTTAATTAACACATTAATCACTGCAGGTGATGGGCATTTTCAGCTGGAAGAGCTAAATCCCAGTTTTCCCCATGCCCAATGGTTCCAGTTCACAGGAGGTGCAGAGCCTACAATTTTGTAATTTCACTGACACGTTTGCCTGTGAGGAAACTTTGGCTGAAACATCTTGCAGTGTTCATAAATCTGGTGTGCTTGTATTTCATGATCTCAGCAGTCGCCAGCAGGATAGGGGAAATAAAGCAGATCTATATTATGCAGAAAAATCTATTCTTTCCCCCAACAGCAGTAATTTTGTCTGCATTCCCCATTGTTCTTCCCCTACCTATGGACATGCTGTTGCTTTGGCTGGTTTTAATTTAATTTAGCCTGTAAGCTCCTTGGGGCCAAGACTGACTTTACTTGCCTGTGAAGTGCCCTGCCTATCTAAGGCACCATATAAATAATAAACCAGCCTTCTGTGCAGGGTGTCTCTGCCTCACTTGTATGTAAGGTCGACTGAAGTGTGGACTCCTGAATTATTTCTCTCTGTTTTGATCAGATACTTCCACAGATTTGAGTCATGGGTGCTGAGCTGCCTGAAAAGCCTCTAACTGAGGTCTGGACTCAGGCTCTGGTTACACACTCAAAGGACATGTCACCACTTTGGTGTTTTCCCTGGGGGGCCACAGCCCACCCTGCTCCCAGAGGCTGCAGCATGGAGATCTTGGTCCCAGTTGTCAGAGCTGTTACTCGAGCCCTGAAATACTGGACTGGTCCCTGGGTGAGACTGAAAACAAGCCCCAGCACAACTCTGTCTCCTGGTGCCTGGGAAACCCACGGGCAGATGGGTCACACAGAGCAGATGCAGAGCTGCTGAGGTTGAGATGTCTCAGTGCTGTTCCCAAATGTTGCTGCTGTACTGCTGCTTCCTCCCCCGTTATAGCTGTGGCCCTAATTTGTAACCAAACATTAATAATAACACCCCCAGCCTCGGAGCTGCCTCTGTAATCACAGCCAGCCAGAATACACAGAGTATAAAACAAAAGGGCAGGAAACATTTCAAAGCTGCTCTAGGAACTTGTGTCGATACAATCTCAGTAATAGGACACACTCATTTGCAGCTGTCATGCCCTATTAAAGCCTACTCTTCCTCTTTCCAGAGATTACTAATTAGTTCACTTAATTTATCTGTTTTAATTTGCATGCTGCTCTTTTAATTACTGTGCAATTGCTGAAATCATATCCTCACTTGTTCTGCATTTACACAGACACACACAAATATGTCAGTGCCTCTACAAAAAGGCTTATCCCAGCACAGCCACTGCCATGGCTCCTGGAGAGAACAGCTGGCTGCCCATGGAAAGCTGTGCAACGGGTCAGGGGGGAAGAAAAAACATGGAATAAAAAAATCACTGGGTCCCTAGGTACTGGGATTTTCAGTAATCTGGTACTTTTATTAATCTTCTTCCATGTTCTTTACAGACTTTAAACATGTAGTAAGAACATTTTATTTAGTATAAAATATTTGTTAAGGTCTGAAATTTAAATAATCATGTGGATATTAGTATTTAATCTGTCTGCCTGTCAACTACATTAATCTTTGTAGTGTTCCTTTGTTAAAATAATGTTCCAAGTACGTAACATGGAGCCAAGCCATATGAAAGCTGATTGTCCTTAGGTCTGACCTACTGACCAGCAGGTTTAGAAGGGAAAACATGGCTGTAAAGGAGCAGGATTAGGTGAGCAGAAGAAAAGTTGAACATTTTCTTAATTACAGAAATGATAAAACCCATGGCTGGGGATTTAAACAAGGAGGTTCTCTGGAGCCCAGAATCCCTTCTATGCCAGCACACACAATGGGATGTGCAGATCACATCCCATAAATTAAATTAACCTTACAGCAGTCCAGTCTGTACCTAATTAACACTGGGGACAAACTCCCTCAAGCCCCCTTTAGAGGAGTCCTGCACATGGGAGGCTGTGACTGCCCTCGGGCACCACAGGGGAGACAAAGCCACACTAGGCAGTTGCTGCTCCAGCCCTGCACATCCCACTTCTCCTGCCACAAGACTCCTACATCAGGACATCCTACTTCATATAAAGCCCTTGATAATGTACTTTTTCACTCCTGAAGAATGCACGTTTCTGTTCATTAGGAATACTAAACTTGACCTACAATGTGGAAACAAGCAGATCCCTAATGGTCAAAGCAAATTGTACTTATTTAAATTGAGAAACTTTCTCAGCCTACTGACGTTGCTGGAGTTAATGTGCATTGGGTGATGACTCGTGAAAATCAAGGCTGGCACCTTTAACTTGTACCAGAGAAAGGAAGCCCAAGCTGTTAAAATACAAAGGTGCTTCCAAAAGTCAGTGATAAACACGATGTAATGAGCTCAAGAAAAGTCAAAACTTCCTGCTGAAAAATATTTTGCTTTCTGCAATATGGACTTAAACAAAGATGATTCCCTAAGCAGGCCTTTCTCAATCCCTCCCAACATAAAGACAAGCAAAAAGTGATTTTCAAATTACACAATTTATTTAGTATACAATAGTCATTACATCTCTTTACAACAACATATTATAAAATAACTATGTTAGATCTCACCAGCAGAACACTGAAACAAGAAATGAAAATACACTTATGGATCTCAAAGGCTTTCCTCCCCTAAAAACATTCTGGCTCCTTGATAACATTTCATCTCTGCAATCTAAAAAAAGTAATTCATACCACAGTCCCACTGATAATGTGCAGCTTGAGAGTCCTTGAGGACACCAAGAACACACATGTCATGTCCCTGCCATTCCCACTGCTAGTAAGACTTGGTACATGCACTGCCAGGAGGGTTGTTCCTGGGGGTGGATCATCCCTAATTGACTGGGACAGTGATGTAGGGCAACCACTTGGAAATAAGGTGCATCAGGGTGATGTCATTCAGGAATATAAGAGTTATTTTAACAAAAATTGCACATTTTAATGCAGTGAATGGAGATCACAGCAAGACATGGGAAGTAGATAAAATAATTATCAATTAAAACACCACCCACCTGTGGCAATGGGAGGTGCAGCCCCTCTCCCCGCAGCCCTGACCCCTCCCAGCTGGCCCTGCCTCCCCAGCCAGCCTTACACAGGGGCAGGGAAGAGCTGTTCCCTCTCCTCCAGGGCTGGGTTGGTGTCCTTCTGCTCCTCTGAGCTCTGGTAAGTGCTTTTGTTCCTTGGCATTCTTGGATTTACTGTTTTAGGGAGGTTGGTGTCTGAATGCTGCACTACTGTCCCTGGAATATCCCTTGGTGTTAAACCTTTCTGATAATAGGTCTTTCTGTTTAAAAACCAAACCAGTGTGCACTTGGTAGTTTCTATGAAAAGGTTTAAATTTCTCCTTTGGCAACATTAGAGATGGCATTTTTGAACCAAGTCTGTTTAAAAATAATTATTGTTACAGTCAGGACTTCTTAATCTCAGTTATTACCTGTAAGTAAATTCTGAAAAGCACAGGGTACCACTGGGCCTGGGAGTCCCTCACCTCCATCAAAAGTTACTGCACCGTTCCAGAAAGATCCAATTGCATTTTAGAACAAGGCAGCACAGCCCAGACATACTTTACCTTTCCTGTGCTTGTTTTCAATTACTGAAGGCACTCATTGAGGGATTCACTGACCCGGGCTTGGAGCAAGAACAGCCATGCATCATTACAGGCCTAATTAAAGTTTTAATACTGATTAAAATGTTTTATTATTGTATTACGTTAAACTGCGGTGGTCTCCAACCTCATTAAGGGATACAGGGTAGGAATTACTCAGGAGTTTCAGCTGCTGAGTTTAACAACCCAGCTCCTGTCAGGGTGTGATTTAACACACCCTGACTACAGCACACTCGCCTTTTGTGTCAGCGAGAAATGCAGGAAGATGTTGAACATTGTTTAATGAGTATTTACTGAATATAAAATTGTTTGAGCATATGACATAACCATCTCCATCTCTCTGGTAATTTACCTTGGTACAACTGAAAGGGAAAAACACTTAAATCACTTGGAATTGGAACCCAGCTCAGTT